CTGACGTGTGAGTAGTCTTTTGGAGGCCATAAATCAAGTGTGTGATCATGTTATCCCGGAGATCCCGATCCCTGTGGGCAGCCTGGTAGTCCCAGTTTGGGTCCATGCTAGGAACAGTAATGGCTCCCACAGGCCGCCTATTATTTTGAGCATGTACCTGAGCCGCCATCCAGACCTGCTCCCTGTACATGGACTCCGACAATTCCTTCCATCTCAGCCACTTGACAGAAAGGTAATAAAAAGCCGAAACTGAGGTGGGGTTGTTACCTGACGAAGGGGGAGAAGGAGAGTGGTTGAGTGGCCGAGGACGAGCATCTTGAGACCAGGGGTGGGGAGGAGAGGGAAATGGCGGAGGGGCTGGTGAAGGATTTGGAGTGTAAGGAGGTAGTCGGGGTGGCCCATATGGGTAGCAGAGTAATCTGACAGATCAGAAAATTGATCTGAGTCTGGAAGGGGAGGTCGAGCATGAGCTAGGAGAATTGGAGACATAGAACAGTTTTGACAGAAGAATGTGTTCAGAGATAGAAGGCCTGAACAAGGAAATCTCTCTGTCTTGCCGTTTCAGTGAGTATCTAAATCGAGAGTGCCATCTTGTGGTCACTGGGATCCATTGTAACGAGGTGTTCGAGTTTTAATATCTCCCTGGAGGTCGAGGAATTGGTCAGGAGGCGGCCCAGAGGCATAGAGCGTGGAGTACAGTAGAAAACGAGACGTGGAGGTTTGGATTGTGAGGATCCCATTTAGAGGGCGAGAAAGGAAACGGGCAGTCCTGGTCAGAGAAGAATGCCGCCAAAGAGTGTCCTCCTTGGTATGCATCTTCTTTTTGAGAAAAAAGCCACAACCAGCTAATGAAGCGTCCTTCAATAGCTGGGGGCCACGAGAAAAGTTCCCTCGGCCAGGCGCCTGGGCTTCGTAGAGATGGGAGTTGTAGAGAGTATTCTGGGGAACTCGTAGAAGTGGGCAGGACAGACCCACTGACTCACCCTGAATTGAGACCGATGTTGGATGTGTTGGTGCGAAACGGCAAAAGTAGAGAGTCCTGAACGCACCCAGTTTCAGCCGGTCCGGGAAGGGCGGCCAGGAGCCAGTCAACCCAAGAGAGGGGATTGTCCAACGGTCCAGCCAAGACCCTACCTGGGTTTCGGCACCATAATGAAAGAAAGTGAGCTGAGACTCCGGTACCATTCAAGCTTTACTAAAGGAAAAGAATCTGCCGGCTGTGCTGAAAGTGGGGAACAGCCCAGGGCTGCCCTAAAGATGGAAGGCAGCAGCAGGTGTGGGGGTGGGAGAGCTTATATAGGGGGCCAAGGGCTGGCTGATACCATCAGGGAGGGGTGTTATGCTAATGTGGATTGGGGTGGAGAACTGGTCCCTTGCAGAAGCAAAAGTGTTTCTGTTTAAGTCAGGAGGCTTCTTGTAAAGGGCAGGGGAAAGGAGCTTGATGTTGGAGTGGAAGGCAAGGCCAGAAGCTATTTTGTGCTTATTGTATGCACAATGGCACCGGTCAAGTCCAAAATCCATCAGACATCACTGTTTGTATATTTGTATTATCTTTACTTTTTAAAATACCTTCTTTATCTTGATTTCTTGGTGTCTTCAGGCACAAATAGAATTATACCCCAACTGCCAATTTGGTGTAAATGTATCCCGTCCTCTTTTTCATGAACTAGAGGAGGAATGGTTTTCCTGATAGGCAGAGCTACCTTAACTGCCAGTCTTCTGGGTAGGGGTCCTTGGTGTTCCCCCTGGGAATTGCTAATCAGCCAGGGTACTGCACTGTCCTAAGCCAAGCTCCTGTACTCTCTGGGAATGCCTGTCTCAAGTTGCCAGGCCCACGTGGGGTCTGAGGGGGTAAGAGAGGAGGAGAGGACAGGGGTGGATCCACCTGGCTATTCCTGTGACTGGTGCTGATATATCATGCAGAAGCTGTCCCTCGAGCCCCCTCTCTGGGCCTGGAGCGCTGTTGTGCTCACCTGCCTTTGTCAATCTGTCTCCTCTCTCGTGTTGTAGGTGCTACACTGCACCTCCAGTCAGAGCTACTGGTTACTTGTGTTTCAGGCATCTCTCATGATTTCTCTGCCACAGAACGTTCTGCTTCTGGTTTACCACCATAGTTATGCGACTGAATCGTTTGTTTCGTCTTTCATATGGTCTTGGGATAGAAAGGGAAGACTGCAGTGTGTGTTCAGTCTGTCATCTGGGGAACCGAAAATACAGTGAAAAGTTATCATTTGAAATAAATTGGTTTTAGTGTTCAGAGAGGCTCTTACTTTAGATGCTGTTTGATTGATTAAGCATCTCTCTTTAACCCAACAGGAGACGCATTGGTATTATATTTGATAAGGCACTTGAGGAATGAGTTCCTCTATTGAGCATCAAAATCTTCTTTTGAAGTTTACATAATAAATGTGTTCAATGTGTCTGCAGTACTCTTGAGGGTAAAACATGTTTAGTTTTTTTTTATTGGGAATGCCGAGGAATGAGTTCCTCTATTGAGCATCAAAATCTTCTTTTGAAGTTTACATAATAAATGTGTTGAATGTGTCTGCAGTACTCTTGAGGGTAAAACATGTTTAGTTTTTTTTTATTGGGAATGCCGAGAGCTCTTTTCTCAAAATTAGGAATCACCTATGCCACCTTCCCCATATATTTTTTTCTAGGTAGAAGAAGTAGAAATTCTCTTGCAGCTACCCTAATGTTCATTGAAAAGCTGCAATATGCCTAGTACTGTGCTAGGCACTGGGGCAGGGTTAGCTTGCTAGTGACCATCTGTTTTTGTGAATGAAGTTTTATTGGAACACAGCCATACCTGTTCATGTGTGAGGCTCCTTCAAAAAGTTCCTGGAAAAATAGAATTAAAAGATAATATAAATCTTGCCATGAACTTTTTGAAGTACCCTTGTGTGTGGTGTTTGTGGCTGCAAATTTTCCCCCTAATTATTATCTAATAATTTCCCCCCAATTAAGTTGACCTTTGATTTTTTTTTAAAAAATTTCTTTTTTAACAGCTTTATTGAGATGTGGTTCATATATATGAAATTCACCTGCTTTAAGTGTACAATTTAGTAGTTTTTAGTGTATTTATAGAATTGTGTAACCATGACCATTATCTAGTTTTAGAGCATTTTTATCACTCTCGAAAGCAATATTGTACCCATTAGCGGTAACTTCCCATGTCCCTCATTTTTCTCCCATCCTCAGCTTGAAGCAGCCCTTAATTTACTTTCTGTCCGTATAGATTTTTCTGTCCTGGAATTTTCATATACGGTCATGTGTTGCTTAACAGGGGCATATTCTAAGAAGTGCATCATTAGGTGATGTTGTGTGAACATCAGAGTGTACTTACACAAACCTGAGTGGTATAGCCTACTACACACCTAGCCTACTGCTTCAACCACTATCATACATGTGGTCCATTGTTGACTGAAATGTTATGCAGCGCATGACTGTAAGTCGGATTGTACAGTATGTGGTCTTTTGTGACTGGTTTCGTTCACTTAGCATGTTTTTGAGGTTAATCCATGATGTTGCATGTACATGATGGGCTTTTAAATTGTTAACAGTTTTTTGCTGTTGCAAGCGATGCTTTGTATGTATTTAGGGAACTTATTTTTAAGTGACTTTTACTATTAACAGTAAAAATCCCATGTCATATATATATATATATATATATTTTTTTTTTTGTCTTTTTTTGTCTTTTTCCGTGTCCGGCAACGGATAGCAACCCTCAGTGTTGCCTCCGTACCGGACCGGGGACCGGCAACGGGATCGCAACCCTCGGTGTTGCTCCCACGCCTCGCTCAGCCAGTGAGCGGGAACCAGTCTCTATGTGGGATCCGAACCCTTGGGCGGGAGCGCCGCCGCGCTTCCCAAGCGGCGCATTATCCAGTGCGCCACCGGGCTGCGGGAGCGCCGCCGCGCTTCCCAAGCGGCGCATTATCCAGTGCGCCACCGGGCCGGCCCCCCCATGTCATATTTTTATACTTTTGCTGTAGCTCTGGAAGAAAAAGACAAAGGTAATATTATTTATAAAAATAGAATTGAATATCTCTAGGAATGAGTAAGCCCTTACCTTTTGAAGAACTCACAGTGTAGTTGGGTTAGGGTGACAAATTAATTATAATACTATGGAAATGTTACAAGTGATTAGGCAAGATTCTAAAGAAATGCAGAAGGAGGAGCAGTGAATTTCTTGGGAGGTATGCACAAAGTGTTATAAAGTGAGTTATATTTGATCTGAGTCTAGACCCTAGAATATTAATAAGATTTCAGGAAGTGGGTGTTGGCAGGAAGGAAGAAGGTATTTTGCAAGGAAAAGGATTATGCAAAGTCATTGAGTGATGAAAGTACTTTTCCAGGAACTTATAAGAGATCGAGTGGGCCTCAGTAATATTGTGGCAACAAGAGACCAGTAATAAGGGTCCAAGCTCATTGGTCACACCTGCTGTGGGAATCATTGGAAAAATTAGGCAAGATTAAGACTCAGACACATTTGGGTTTAGAGAGAGAACTCTGATGGTGTAGAGGGTGGGCTGGGGATGGGAGAGTCTAGAGGTGGTCTGTACAAAGGTTGTTGTAACTTTTTAGATGAGACACGATAACCTGATGTTATTCCTGATAGTGGGAATGAAAGGAGATGAAGTGGAGAGACATTTTTTAGTTTAAACTGACAGGACTTATTGATGTGAGTGGTGAGGGAAATGAATTCTCAGATGACTCACATGATCCCTCACTTGGACAGTTGAATGATTTGGGAATTTGATAAACATCCCCAACACTGACAAAATTAACTTGTCGCATTAGAAGTCATCCACTTTCTGCGGATGAAAGATCTACTTCATTTTGCTTTAAGGAAGAAAATAATTTCTTATTTTGTAATTTAAAAGTTACTTCAAATGTTTATTTCCAGTTTAGAAATGAAACAGGTTTATACTGAGCCTAGGAGCTGTCATTTTTCAACCTGAACAATCAAACTACTATTAATTATCACTTCCTCATAGCCAAAAGAATGCGGTGGTGTAAAGGTTCCAGTTGATGCCAGTAAACCTAATCCAAATGATGTGGAGTTTGATAATCTGTATTTGGATATGAATGGAATCATTCACCCCTGTACTCATCCTGAAGACAAGTACGTAATTTTTTTTTCACCGATATCACAGGTCACAGAGGAAATACTATATTGTGTTACATTGTTTGCTTGTCATTATAGACCAGCACCAAAAAATGAAGATGAAATGATGGTTGCAATTTTTGAATACATTGATAGACTTTTCAGTATTGTAAGACCAAGACGACTTCTCTACATGGCAATAGATGGAGTGGTAAGTGCTAAAAAAATTGACTAAGAAACCCCCATTTTTGTTTTTTCTGTGTTCCCAGTGTCCAGAATTAAAGTCAGCTAAATGCTGGAAAATGTTGATGGTGAATTTGAGAAAGAAAGCCTCATCCTTCAGTCATTCATTCAATCATTTTTTAGTGCCTATTTTGTGTCAGGTACTATGAAGTGCTGGGGGTGTTGGCAACTGCCCTTGCTGTGGAAGAGCTTACCATCAAAGGGAGGGAGACATAGATAAATGAGTGGGTTTAGTTACTTAGAGGCTTTATAGGCACTAGATAACACATGGAGGCTGTTGAGGGACAAGGAAGTCAGAGCTACCAAGGGAGTTAGGAAATAGAGAGAAGGTGACTTTCGTTCCATTTCTTTAAGGATGAAGAATAATTGGACATTGGTGGGCAGTGGCAGGGGGTGGATGAGACAGGTATAGGGAAGGGAAGACCTTCCAGATTTCTCAAATGTGCCAGGTAAGTACACTTGCCATGCCTGTGACCACACTGACACGTTTGGGCAACTACCGGTGGCTTGGATTGAAAAGGGAAGTAGAGTGACAGCTTGAGAAGGCCTTACGTGCCATAGTCAGGACTTTCAGTTATATCCTATAGGCAGTGAGTAGTCATCAAAGTGATTTCAGAGGGTAGTAACTTACTGACCTTTTACCATAATACCAAGTAGCTTAGCTTATAAATGACCAGCAAACTTTATGTCAAAGGAAAGCTAAAGTAAGTCATACTCCTAAATTTATTTAGTCATATGCAAGTAGATTCTCTCTCTCTCTCTCTTTTTTAAGATTTAGTACATCTTCGTGGCTAATGGAATGATTTTGAAAATCTGGGAACTTTGAATCCAAGAAGATTAGCTTTTCCGTGAGATTCTTGTAATTCAGTGGAAAATCTTAGCTACCTGAAAACTTGTTAAGTTTGCAGTTACAGTGGAGTAAAGAACAAAGAGAACAGGAATGTGTCTCGTTTAGAGCATATTCCAGTTTACATTCAGCTAAATTTCTTGAAGAAAATATTTAGCTTTATTCCAGTGTGCCCCTACTGCTAGATCAGGTATATGTGTGTGTGTGTGTATACATATATATATGCACATGTATACACACACTTAGAAAATATTTAGCTTTATTCCAGTGTGCCCCTACTGCTAGATCAGGTATATGTGTGTGTGTATGTATATGTGTGTGTGTGTGTGTGTGTATACATATATATATGCACATGTATACACACACTTTTTTGTTAAAGTGTAACTGTAGATCATAGAACTTGGTACTTGAGGGGGCGAGATTAGATGACCTCATTTTACAGGAAAGGTAACTATTTAAAGAGAACATAAGATAACATATTTAGATGTAGACAGGTTATTCCAGAGTTTCTTCCAATTCCAAAATTCAGTTTAGTAACTTCCAAAATTTTACAGTCCAGTTCACTTCATTCTGACTTATCCAGTGATTTAAAGTACATTTCAGTTAGAGTGATTTAAAATAATGTTCCCTTTCTAACTGTTGTGATAATTATGAACTTTATGGTGGGAGATACAAAAAGTGCATCAATGTCCTCCAGGTCAGGAAGTAGTTTTCTGCTGCTTTTATGGGACATTGTGAATCCTATTTGGAGATCATCTTTACTTTTAGTTTTGGACATACGGGAGGTCTTCTGAATCTGTAGTAACTTACTCATTGCATGCTGATGACTGGGTGTTTCAGTAAATTAAACTTTCCTTCTTGGGTGCCTTGAAGCACCTTAATCCAGGAGTACTGGCATTAGGTCATGGGCCTTGTTGTATGAATTTCTGTGGCTTCATAGGCTGTTAGTCCTTTTGACGTGTCACTCACTCACCTGATCAATCTCAGCTTTTAGATTCTTGGTCCAAATTTAAGTATTCAGGATCTATGTCTATCATGAAGGGATTATTAGACATATTACTTACTTTTCTTCCATTTTAGTGTACTATTTTATAAGAATGATTGATTCAAAATGATGTACAGATTTATTTGTGAATATTTTGAATAGTATTATGTGAATATGAAGTACACATTTTCAGGCACCACGTGCTAAAATGAACCAGCAGCGTTCAAGGCGATTCAGAGCATCTAAAGAAGGAATGGAAGCAGCAGTCGAGAAGCAACGAGTCAGGGAAGAAATATTGGCAAAAGGTAAAGAATATGCATCTTGAAGTTGGACTTTTTAGATGTATGCAGAAGGGGGAGAAGTGGCAACTTTTTCTCCTAAATAGTGAAGTTTTAGTTTAATGAGGATACCAGAATATCCAAGGAAAATGTATATTCACTGTCAGGGAAAAATAATTCTTGGAATCCTTTACTCCTATTAATAAGCTTACTCACTTCTCAACTCTCCAGTAAAAGAGACATTTGGGAATAAAAGGAGGGAATCCTAGTATGGAGAGCAGATTTTCAATCCTTTTTTAGGGTAAGTGCAGCTCTTCAGCTGACTTTCGTATGTCTGTAAAGTAGAAATACATTAAAAGTCCTTCTTACTTCTTTTCACCGTGGGGGCTATCAGAAATCTACAGTTCTGTAGACATTTTCTTCAAATCAGTCTTGGTTTGCTTGCTTATTTCTTCTGCTTGAAACTCAGAGGTTTATCTGGGGAAGCCAGAGATGATTGATCCATATTTATAGGCTATTGCCAAGCCACTCATACATTTTTAGTGTAGGTTTATGGATCAGGTACTGTATCTAGGGTTCCTTAATTTTGGGGGGTGGGGTGCAGTCACCTTTGCCATTCCTCAAACCTTGAAATTCTTGGTGGGTACATAGATGGGAGCTGACCAAGTCTCGGAGAGGAGGAAGGTCAGGGAGTGCTGATGCTGGCTGGGATTATTTCTCTCCCAGCACACGTGTGTGTGAGGTGGGACGTGGTTGTAGCAGGGTAATTTGTTTGGTGGTCTGCTACATAAGGCAATATAACAGATCAGGAAAGCCACAATTTATTGACTGAAGATAATTGCACTTTGCGGTTGAAAAAAAGATTCCATAGTTGTAGTCGGCTCAGGCCTGCAATTTTGACAAATTTTGTTATTTTAATTTGCTGGAAGCATGAAAGTGTACGTATAGTTACTTGAGCTGCAGCTTGTAGTTAAGACTCTAAACCGGCTTGTATTTATAACAGAATGTTTTTGATTTTAAAGATGTCCCTTTTTGAAGATGTTATGAAGTATATTTGTTTCTTCAGAAGCAGCTAATCATGATATAGAGGAAGAAGTAGGGTTTTTATATCTCTAGCTGAATATTTTATTTCTTATATATCACTGTGATAAACTCAACATTTTAATTTTATTTTTCTCAGGCACCCATATCATAAGAGCTGTTATAAAAATTAAAACCTCTTAACCTGTGCGTGTGTGTGTGTGTGTATGTGTATTCTCCCGTTGCAGGGGGAAGAACTTAATAATTTTTGTTTTCTTACGTAATGATGTAGTATCTTTTGTGTATCATATATTGTTTGATAGTCTTGTTAAAGCTTAATTTAAATTTGAGGTGAGTAATCTTATTTTCTTCCCAAAAGAGGGAACATTGCTCTTCAGGTGATAACACTTTTCTTTCTTTTTTATTTGAACTTTTTTGTTGTTGTTCTGGCTTAATATTGAGTAATTTACCTCACTTTTTATGTGGAAAACAAAACATTGCTTTTTTCTCTAGGTGGCTTTCTTCCTCCAGAAGAAATAAAAGAAAGATTTGACAGCAACTGTATTACACCAGTAAGTAGTCTCATACTTTGCTAGCTATTGCTAACTCTTAAATGATAGATTAATTTATTTCCTTTTATCATTTTAGGGAACTGAGTTCATGGATAATCTTGCTAAATGTCTTCGCTATTACATAGCTGATCGCTTAAATAATGACCCTGGATGGAAAAATTTGACAGTAAGTTTCACATTTTGGTGCTTCAGAAAGATTAGGGTGATCACTTGAGGCTGTACTTTGATATATCTGATATTATTTATCATTTTTTTCCCCTTGTAAAAAGCTAGTTGACTGTCAGAGGAAAGAGAATCTTCCAGTATTATTGGAAATGAGGTGCCTTGCATGGTCAGGTTTTAGTTAGCTGAATTTTCTCTCAATGCCAATTTTGTCCTCTCAATATCACTATGAAGCCATAAAATCGGATTCATAATTTTTAAGGTTTGTATATAGGAAGGTAATTTTTAAATGGAAGTTTCTGTTACTATATATCAAAATACAGTAAGATTAAAGTTTTTTAAATCCTTTAAAAAATGGCTACATTCTCATAAATATTTAAGTAAAATTTAAATGAACTTTTATGTAATTTTAGGTTTATAAGCTTGTTTCCCTATTAATTAGATATGGTAAATTGTATATCATGGCTGTCTTTTATTATTATTCTCAGGGCTTATATGATTTTGTGCTGTATTCTGGGGTAATTGTGAAAATAGTAGGAACTTGTGAACTGATCAGTTTTTCTAATGGCTAAGTCTGACCCAGATATTTTTTTGTTTTTCATTCCATGTAGTAGATTAATTAGTGAAGTAGTTTTGGTGTTTAACATAGACACACACACCTTATTCAGAACATTTTCCAGCTAATAATAACACTGTCTTAATAGAATTAATAACACTATCTTAATAGAATTATCTAAATTTTTCTTAAGATATTTAGTTCTTTTGATTTTTGTGCCTGTACAAAATTGGGGATGAGCTGAAAGTGTTAAAAACTTTTTTTAATAGGTTATTTTGTCTGATGCTAGTGCACCTGGTGAAGGAGAGCATAAAATCATGGATTACATTAGAAGACAAAGAGGTGAATCTCATAAATGTTTGATTATATGATCCATTAAAAAAGATAAGCCATTAAATAGAAAATACTTGGTAGGATGTGATATTCTTTTGGTGTACAGTATATTTATACATATGTAATATATGTTTCTCCCCTTTTTAGCCCAGCCTAACCATGACCCAAATACTCATCACTGTTTATGTGGAGCAGATGGTGAGTTTTGTCTTCAGGATTTGCTTCTCTTGGATTAAACCGTAGCAAGTTGATGGGTTTTTATGTAGTAATGGGTTATTCATGGTTCCTTGATAATTCTAATATGGCCTTTTTTTAATTGTTGAAACGATTGTACATATCTGTGGGATAGAGTGTTGAATAAAATTCCTTGTTTATTTTATATTTGAAAGGGAAGTATCGAGTTGCTGTTTGATTTGTGATCATGATCATCTGTGGTTTTTTGTTTGTTTGTTTTTTTTTTTTACATTTCTCAGCCTTTTAATATAGCTGCACATACCTTTAAAGTGGAAAATTTCGTATTTGAAAGGGAAGTATCGAGTTGCTGTTTGATTTGTGATCATGATCATCTGTGGTTTTTTTTTTTTTTTACATTTCTCAGCCTTTTAATATAGCTGCACATACCTTTAAAGTGGAAAATTTCCCAAGTGTTTAATCCTGAGTGGTAGTCTGTGTTGTAGGTCCACACATCTGGAGGACTTCTTGTTGACTGAGGCCTACTAAGAAGTTTTAGGCTTTACTACCTCTGTTGGTCTTTTCTTGTGTTGGTGTCTTACAGTTCTTTGTTATGGTAAGGATACTCAAAGTACTCACTGTTCAGTTTTTTTCTTGTTGTCCATTGACAGCTGATCTCATTATGCTTGGCCTTGCTACACATGAACCAAACTTTACCATCATTAGAGAAGAATTCAAACCAAACAAACCCAAACCATGTGGTCTTTGTAATCAGTTTGGACATGAGGTTAAGGATTGTGAAGGTTTACCAAGAGAAAAGAAGGGAAAGGTAAGAACATTGAGATGGTAGTTGCCTCATTATTTAAAAAAATTCTATTATCATGGTAAAACATACATAACACAGAATATATGGTTCTAACCATTTTTAAGTATACAATTAAATAGAACTAAGTATATTTAAGTTGCCTCATTTTAAAAATGGATAGAGAGAAGATTATGGTTGATTAGATTTTTTACTTGCTTGCTCTGTTACCCTTCACAGAAATGTATCTTTTTGTGCACATTAAAGTAAGCCCTTATTCAGAAGCATGCACACACTCATTCTTATACTTTGCACTTCTTCTAACATAGCCTATATCTCTACGTGAGACTTAGGTTTCCTACATAATGCCCATTGTGTGTGATTTGTTTGTAGAAGTTATTTGTTTCAAGTGGTTACTCTTCTTGAAAGGAACTGCAAATCAAATATATTAAGCTTCTTGATACTTTTAAGTTATTTCCAGTTTATTTGTATTTTGGGTTCACTTGGTTATATCCAGTCCCCTTTAAAGTTGTTTCTGTTTTAAGAGTGTGGTGCCTCTTTAAGAAATATTGTTGAGTAAAAAAGCAGATAAGAATGTAATGTACTATATGATTTCAGATACGCAGTACAGCAGAGGCAATTACATGTATCTGTGCATGTATGTTCACAGAGAAGGGGCTAGAAGCATATACATCAAAATATTAATATTGGTTGGGTGTAAGTCAGGTGTTAGCAAACTATAGTCCTTCAGATTTGGCCCATGAGCTAAGAAGAATTTTTACGTTTTTTTTTTTTCCTTTTTTTTTTTTAATCTTTTTTACTGACCGGTAACGGGATCGCAACCCCCGGTGTCGCGCCCGCACCGGGGACTGGCAACGGGATCGCAACCCTCGGTGTTGCGCCCGCACCGCGCTCAACCAGTGAGCGGGAACCGGTTTCCACATGGGATCCGAACCCTCGGCGGGAGCGCTGCCGCGCTCCCAGGCGGCGCACTCTCCAGTGCGCCACCGGGCCGGCCCGAATTTTTAAATTTTTAAAGGAGTGTAAAAACAAAATAAAACATGAAAAAATATGTAACAGACCCTGTGTGTTCCCCAGAGGCTCAAGTATTTAATCTGGCTTTTTACAGAAAATGTTAGCTGAGCCTTGGTCTAGGTATGATTGGGCTTATGGATAATTTTTATTTTAAAATGGTTTGGTGAGCTTTTTTAAATTTATTACGTATAATATGAAAATGGATCTTGTTTTAGAAAAAGCCTTATGATTTGCTTGGTTGAACAGATAGCAAGGTAGACTTGTTTAATCTCTCCCATTCTTGCAGCATGATGAACTTGCAGATAGTCTTCCTTGCGCAGAGGGAGAGTTTATCTTCCTTCGGCTTAATGTTCTTCGTGAGGTATGTAGCAATAATCACTGGAATCGGCAATCTAAAGCCGGGTACCTTTTGATAGCTTTAATGGCAGCATTCTTTTTGGTTGTAGTATTTGGAAAGAGAACTCACCATGGCTAGCCTACCATTTACATTTGATATCGAGAGGAGCATTGATGACTGGGTCTTCATGTGCTTCTTTGTGGGAAACGACTTCCTTCCTCACTTGCCATCGTTAGAGATTAGGTATGTGTATTTGTGTGGTTTTTCAAGCTACTGTTTTAGCCTTCTTGACTTTACATTGTTTACTGGTTCTAATGCATGATGTTTGTCTCTTGGTGGCAGGGAAGGTGCAATCGACCGTTTGGTTAACATATACAAAAATGTGGTACACAAAACTGGGGTGAGTTCACTCTTTAATAATTTCAAAACAGATATATTCGCTTTAATAAGAAGATCATTTTACATGTATTTTATCACTTACAGGGTTACCTTACAGAAAGTGGTTATGTCAATCTGCAAAGAGTACAGATGATCATGTTAGCAGTTGGTGAAGTTGAGGATAGCATTTTTAAAAAGAGAAAGGATGATGAGGTAAAGTGTTTCTATTGCAGTAGCTAAAATTGCTCCTGTCCCTAATAGGCTGTGATGATCCTGTGATTGTACTTTTAACCTCTTTGAGTGCATTGTTATATCATTATAGTGTATGGACACTAATGTAATCATGAGCAGTCAGTGCTTTGATTATTTTATAAAGGTTGTTATGCTTGCCGTGTAGAACTATGTATTGCACACTGTGAGTTGCATTGTAATTTTTTTCCTCTCTTCGTAATCTTAATTAGGACATTAACACCTGTCTAATCAATGGGATATGAAATGAAGGTTAAGGCTAGAAGAATGCTGGGATTGAGCTAGTGGCTGCCATGTTTTATAGGAAATACTTATGCTCTGGAAGGCAGGTTAAGACCTTGGAACTCCTAGGAACTTGTACTCTAGGAGTAAAGGGGTTGGATTGTATCACCTAGGGGAGAGGGTTGGAAGAATATAGGATCTGTGGAAGGCTGCAGCTCCTAAGTAAGAAATCGAAACATAAAGAAGGGAATAAAACGTAACAAAGCACAGGCCGGCCCGTGGCTCACTTGGTAGAGTGCGGGGCTGATAACACCAAGGCCACAGGTTCGGATCCTATATAGGGATGGCTGGTTTGCTCACTGGCTGAGTGTGGTGCTGAGAACACCAAGCCAAGCTGAGGGTTGAGATGCCCTTACTGGTCATCTTTAAAAAAAAAAAAAAAAAAAAAAGTAACAAAGCACTTTGAAATTGATTACATATGATGGGTGCGTGCTTATGTGAGAAGTTCAGGTGTCTGGCTTGGGCAGTTAGGAGTTTGCTGGTGCATTTACTGAGATAGCAAGCACTTGGGGGTGGAGTGAGTTGGGGTGGGGACAAAGTGGAAACTTAGTTTCATTTTGGAGATATTAAATTTGAGGGACTATACAACACCTGAGGGGAGAAAAGTCTGTTGAGCAGTTGGATGGATATGTGTAAAGTTCAGGACAGAAGTCTTTTGAAAAGGGATTTGAGAACTGTTAGCTGATGGCAGTTACTTGAAGCATAATTGTGAACTTGAATTCTCTGCGATCTTGTGTGGAGTGAAAGTGCCCCCAACAGAAGTTTTGGGAAGCATGGTCATTTAAGGAGAAAGATGGGCCAGTTCTAGAGAGGTGGAAGGAAATCCCTAAAGAGAGGAGAAGCCATTGGTGCTGCCCGAGGGGTCAGAGTGAGATGAACAGGCACCTAGTCTGTGGCCAGGAGTTGGAAGGCCGTGGGGAGATGGTTGGAGTGGAAAGGCAGCAGCCTGGATGCAGAGTGGGTTTGAAATGGCAAGGGAGGCCAGCAGTGGGCAAAATGATCAGATAGTAGCTTCTTAGAAACAGAGTAAAGGAAATCCTTTCAGAAACTGATTTTATAAGAAGCAAATAGCATAATATTGCTACATTGCTTCATGATCTCCTAATAGATCAAAGTGCCATTGAATCTGACAAGATTTTCTTTCAACTTTGTGTATTGTAGCTAGTGGCAATTAGAACTTTGGGCATCATTTTATTAACACAGTGAGTTGACTATAAGTATTCTTTCCAAAAGCATTCAGTACTTGGTAATCTTTTTCTGTGATGGCAAGAATTTTCACCTATCAAATTAAATTACAGAACTAGCTTTGTCTGGGGGTATCAAATGTGTACCGGAACAACCATTATTAACCAAATCTTCAACAGTTACCGTGGCTTCACTTGACTTGCTGCCATTTACACTTAACAAAAAACTATACATACTGTGTACTACTTGGTATAAAAACCTTGTGTTAGACAGTCCTTTTATGTGGCTTTAGCAGATTCTGTACCATTAAATATTGGTGATAACTTGGCATTAGAGGGGAAAGTTTGGGACTTGATAGATACTTTAGTGTTTCTGCTTTAATTAATATGGTTTCCAGCTACCTGGTGGAGAAGGCATTTTAAAGCTTTCAGTCTTTTTGGTGTCCCTGAAGTCATATGATGTCCTTCATCATGATTGGGCATCAGGGGAAACCCTCAGAAATTAAATATGAAGGTTTCTGGGTGTATGTATTTTCCTGAGAATTGTGTCAAAAGTGGCTTTTGACAGATTACTACAGGAGTTCATAGCACAAATAAGGTTAAAGATCAGTAAGGTCTACCCAGGCGGTCTTCTGCTTATGTGACTACCACCCTTAGAAATAGGTATTTAACAGACCAGCAGAACAGATGGTAGAAAAAGAATGTATCAGTGTTTGTCCAAGCAAGTGAAAAATGTTCTGAGCAACCCTGTAGACTGTGGGAAGTGCAAAGGAGGGGGTGGGGAATCCATTTGGAGTATGTAAAGTTTGAGATACCCAAATGGAGATGGGAGTGGGGAGAGGTCCTGGTTGGAGAGTCATCAGCATCTAGAGGGTGTTTAAAGCCATGAGACCAGGTAATTACTCTCATGGGAGGAGAGAAGTGGAGAGGGCCCAGGGGAACATCAACATCAAGAGGTTGGGAAGTTGAGGAACAAAGGCACCAGCAAGAGGGAAGGAGGAGAACCAGGTGAGTCCCAGAAGCCAGGGGAAGAGTGTGATTCAAGGAGGAAAGAGTCATGGTCAGATAAGGACTGAAAACTGACTAATGGATTCCATAATCTGCAGGTCACTGGTGACCTAAAAAAGAGATTTTTCCTTGAAGATGAGGGCAAAAGCTTGATTAAAGAAATCAGTGTTTTCCGTATTGTAGGAGGTTTTAAGGTAGTCACCTGGGCTCCACTTCAGAGAAGCAGACTTCTGTATCCAACGTTTAGCCCCTGTCGTGGCAGAAAGCATCAATTTTAAATCTCCTGAAGATATTATATTGCATTTGACTGGACTAACTTGGAGGGGGGGGGGGTAGAAATGCAGTTGCTAGGACAGTACCTGCTGGCCCCTGTTTTAAGCCACAGCAGCAGCCATGCCACCCAAGCTGTCATTTCAGTTCCTTGATAATCAGCGATACTTGGGCATGGAAGACCTTTGAATGGCCCAGAGTTAGAAGGGAGCAAGATCAATCCAAAATCCTGTCCAGTTGAAACCGTGGCTGCATTTTGAAAATGAGTGGATGGGAAGAATTAATGTGGACTGGACCCTCTCTTGTGAGTTAAATTGGTCCAGAGTGAGCAGTGCATACATCTGAATTTCCCTCCTTTCTTCCATTGGATTGCCGTTTTGGAAGCCAGGGGTGGGGGCATTGTTTACATAGAGTCCCACTTTTCTCTTTTCCCTATTATGCCTTGCATGCTACAGAGTTAGGAACTGTGAAGCCCTTTGTAGGTAACAGAGCCTCATTAAACTGTCTTGTTGATTTTTTTAAAAATTCCCGTGTTATTAACTATATTCAGCTATTTTGTATCTTTCCATATTGACAGCCTGTTCGCTCCAGGGTGAAACAGGGCCTTTGTCATAGCTCTTGCACTTTCCTGAAGTGATGTCAGAAACTATCTGAAAAAGGTTGAAATCTAAATTCGGTCTCTCCACCAGTTTAAAGTTCTGATAAACAATACTTTAAACATACAGTTCACTGCCTGGTTTAATCACATACCTAGATTTCTGGTGTCTTCCTTTAAAACATAAATTGTCTCCTGAATCATTCCTGGTAATGTTTAACTCTGATATTTTTTGTGTAATTATTTGACAGAATATATGGATTTTATACTTTTAGGACAGTTTTAGAAGACGGCAGAAAGAAAAAAGAAAGAGAATGAAGGTAAGTTTTAATTAATTTGAGATTGGCATTAGTGTAAGTTTACAATTTATGAGGATGTTGTTCATTACAGTAGCTTTATTCCTTATCTAGTAGGGGTTGGTCAGGAACATAAGTATCCACCCAGCTGCCTTCTTACCCAGAGAAAGAATACTGGTGTTAATTTTCAGGAAGCCCTTTCTAAGCTCTGGAGGCTGAAGAGATATACCTGATGGGTGGGAGGAGGGTGGCACTTAACTATTTGAATTGTTTATAACAATCAAATATTTTTTTGTAATAAAAATAGCCAACTCTTTGTGTCCTCTTGAAATTTACTACACTCTATCTTATTTCTGTGTTTTTGTTAGGTTCTTAGAACATAACACTCTAAACTTTGTTGTTTCTCTGCTCCAAAATACCACTGACTCCTTAATCCCCGCAGAATCCAGTTCTATCTTAGTTTGTTGTTCAGAACACACAGTGATCTGGTCAGGTACCAGCCATCCAGCTTATCCCCTGCTGCCTTCTAAATACATCATGTCCCTGCTGACTCAGAGCGTTGCCTTCATTTGGTGCCTCCAAATGGATTTCAGCTTACCTTTTCCACAAGGCCTCCCTTGTTGGTTCTGCTCATAGTATAGGTTGAGCAATCCTTTCTCTGATCTTCTGGTTCTTCATACCTGTGGTACCTGTTTTCTTACTTAATTGAGTAATGCTGTGTAGTCATTTAACTTCTTTAGTTCTTTTTTTTTCCTCTTGTCTTCTTTACTGAATTTTCAAATTCATGGAGTTTAGGGATGGCCTTTTATTATGATTTATTAGAATTGAGCAATTTTAGTAAACTGGAAGGGAAAAAAAGAGTTATATTTTTGTTGCAGATACATTCAAAACCACTTAGATTAGGAGGGGCATATTTGGTTTCTACCTTATGGATTGTTATTTTCTTTTAGTCAATATCTGTTTTATCAGTCAGCTATGACTACCACCTATTATAGTACCATTATAGCTCTAATTAGTTGGAAATAAAGAGTTAAATTCTAGCAAGATGAAGGGTAAATAAAAGTTGTATTTTCTAAGTATAAGTCAAACTTGACTTATTTTTCTACCTTAGTCATTATATTATTTTTATTTGCCTGAAATTGTAAATAGACAATGGATTAGCATAATAAGACTTAAATATATTACCTCTGTATTAGAAAGGAGTGTTATATGTACTTTTAGGGCAAAGTTATTAAGTATCACCGATTATTGTTTACAGGGTGTGAGTTACCTTCAAGTCAAAATGTAGGCAACCCTGTAATGTTAATGCAAGTCCATTTGGTCTTTTAGTGAGTTTAGTAGTTGAGTGGTTACAGTGATGACTCAATTCCAGTGCCCTCTTTTCTTCTTGTATTCTGTGTTGTGATTTAAGTTTAATTTCTACCTTCATTTCCATTTATGTTAGAGAGATCAACCAGCTTTCACTCCTAGTGGAATATTAACTCCTCATGCCTTGGGTTCAAGAAATTCACCAGGCTCTCAAGTAGCCAGTAATCCGAGACAAGCAGCCTATGAAATGAGGATGCAGAATAACTCTGTAAGTGTCTTACTTTCATGTGGCATTGAAGAGTGAATATCAGATGCTTGTTGCAGTTGTGTGTGGGTGTGAATTTTATCACTTAGCCTGGAATTGTTTTGTTTTATAGTGTTAGTCAATTTCTTTTGCCTCATAGTACTTTTAACTCTATTAAATCCATCTTTATGAATATGAAGATATTTAAATGATGTGAAAGAATAGTATATGGGATAGTAGATGCTGTAGATGCATGTGAATATGAAGAGATAGCTAAGTGGCTGCTGTGTTTCTGTAATCTTTGCCTCATAGTACTTTTAACTCTATTAAATCCATCTTTATGAATATGAAGATATTTAAATAATGTGAAAGAATAGTATATGGGATAGTAGATGCTGTAGATGCATGTGAATATGAAGAGATAGCTAAGTGGCTGCTGTGTTTCTGTAATCCAGTGGGACACATTGCTTACTCCTTCCCCAAAGAACTTGGTGGTGGATGGTGCTGGAAGCATGCCTGGGACACCCAGATGTCTCACAGCTGAGGCAAGACAGAAAGGGGTGGTTTACTCCCTTATTTTTCCTTTCCTTATAGGGGTCAGTTATGGGCGTTTTGCAAAATGGTATTCCTCAGGCTATCAAATATAGGTCCTCCTCACTGCTTGAACTTTTGCTCTCTATTTCGGGCATGGAATAGATCTGAATAAATATTTTATATTTTAAGGTAGCTCAAACTCTGGTCGCTTCATATTTGTAAACTCAGGAACTAAATGGATTTGCCTCATGGTGCCTCCTTGTTTGAGCTTTGTAATCTAAACTGCAGAAACAAATCAACCCACCTAGCAAGGCTGTACTGTGTCCACCAGGTTTCTGTTGTAGTGGCAACACAGCTCAGAGTGCCCAGTGTGGCAGCGGCAGGGTTGAGGGAACAGACTGAACTAACAGTAGAGGGAGGAAAGATATTATGATGGGTTCAGTATTGTGCTATGATATGTACAAGGAAATTGCATGAGCTTGGATATTTACATTTCGTTATTCTAATAGTTATCCTATTGGTGCTCATATTCGTTATTAAAGGGAAACCTATAGTGGAAATTTTGCCATATCAGGAGGCTGATTCAACTCATGTTCACGTAAATTAACACCTAGAAGTTTTAGGACCTTAAATTTGAATTTGAGAACTAAGATTTTGCATCTGGGAGAATTAGCCTGGGTTTCTGTTGTGTTTTTGTTCCATTTGACTTTTGTTTTTTTGTCCCACTAACGGGGAGTTTTGGAGGGTCAGGGAAAGGGATTGCAGTGAGACACCTGAGTAGAGCAGAAAACGCTGAAATACCCATCATTCAAGATTATAGTGACTATAGTTCCCCCAGAACTGAACTGAGAGTGACTGTTATTCTTAAATGACCTGTTGATAGAATACTTTTTTTCTTAATGTCAAGGAGGTGAGTAGGTTTAAACTCTGCCAGCTGTGATTGCTTTGAGGCTTCCAGCATTACATTTAGGCTCCACAGAACTAGACTGTTTTATCAGTAATGTCTGCCATAGGAGTAGGAATGGGAAGATTGGTGATCAGGTTGCTGGTTTCTGTCTTAGCCTGTCCTAACACAATTATTTTTATATAGAGGAGGTATGGAACTGGAATCTTTGTGAGTGGGATTTTTACCTAGAATGTTCTGAACTGAAGAAAATCATAAAACCAAATTACCAGTCCATTTAAAGGGAGACTTCAAAGTTATGGATTTTTCCTGTTTTCTTTTATCTTAGCTGTTGGGCATGTTAGTCTCCGGTACTTGTCCACTGATGGTCAACATTGTTAATGTTTAATTAGATAGTTTCTGTTTACTCATGTATGTGGTTTTAAATTTTGCATTCTGAGTATGATTTCATTATATCTGAGGCTATCTTCAGTTTAACAGATTTAATTGTAAAAACAACTTTTTATTTTTTTTTATTTTTTTTGTCTTTTTCCGTGTCCGGCAACGGATCGCAACCCTCAGTGTCGCCCCCGTACCGGACCGGGACCGGCAACGGGATCGCAACCCTCGGTGTTGCCCCCGCGCCTCGCTCAGCCAGTGAGCGGGAACCGGTCTGTATGTGGGATCCGAACCCTCGGCGGGAGCGCCCCCGCGCTTCCCAAGCGGCGCACTAGCGCAGTGCGCCACCGGGCCGGCCCTAAAAACAACTTTTTAAAAAAGAAATATTTGTATCAATTTGTATGACTCTGCTATGTTCAGAAAGAAATACTTTCGTTGGCAGAGACAGAGCAGCATAGATTTAGCATTAAATGGTGAATAGCTTCTTTTTTTTTAAGTATATTTTTGTTATCTAAAGGTGGAGTTTATGTCTTGCTAGTCAAGAATCAATTTGGGAAAGTTTGCTTTTTGTAGAGCTTCTCTGTACTTAGACAATTGATAGTAATATTACCCTCATCATTTAATTCAAATGGATTAGTGTAGAGTTTAAAAAAAAATGTGATGACTTACTGAATGGTTAACCACCATGAACTCTCAATTTTAAAATAATTCAACTTACTTGGAATCTCTAATATACTGTGAATAACAGAAGGAAAACTTTACTGTGAAAATGTTTTCTGCCACTTACGTTTTTGGTCATGTAACTTAAATAACTAAAGTTACAGAAGATTTTCTTTTAATTCTTTTATTAAATATTAAAATATTTTAGGGCCCTATTATGTTAATTGAATTAAGTTCAAAGGGAAGATAATACTGAATTTAAAGTGGCAGCCAAGTCTTTGAAGTACTAATAAAATCTGCATTTTTCTAATGACTAGTAGATTTTTATTTGTATATTGAATTCTAAAACAGTACATATAAAATACTTTAACAGTTTTTTGGCAGAGTCTCATTAAAGTTGATTTCCACAGTGCTTGTACTAGTTTAAACACTTAGTTTTTGAAGTACCCTCGTATATATTTTATGTATGTTTTTTCCCCTCACAACTTTGCTACTTGATAGGTGGAAAATGATTGTGAATTTATAACATGAGGGAACCATTAAAGGAAAACAAAATTCAAGTATATAATTTTTAAAAATCTGTAACATTAAATTTTTCTTTTTTCTTCTGAAAAAATCGTTACCCTAATAATGTTAATTTTTTTGAGTTTAAGCATAGGAAGTTTGGTGCTGTATTACTCTTTTGGGAGGGGTGGAATGGGGAAAGAGCAGTCTCTGTACTTTCTAAATATGTTTACCATATCTATTTAGGAGCTTGAAAAAACATGTTACCATGAAGCATGGTAGGTAATAGCAGTTGGATGTACCTTCTTGTGTAAAATGAATAATGAAGTCCTTCTTCTATAATGTTGTAATTGTCTGCAGAGTCCTGCAGTATCTCCTAATGCAAGTTTCACATCTGATGGCTCCCCATCTCCACTAGGAGGAATTAAACGAAAAGCAGAAGACAGTGACAGTGAACCTGAGCCAGAGGATAATGTCAGGTGAAGCCATATTTTGGTAGCGCTTTGTTAGCAAATTGCTGAGATAGATGCTGTCTAATTAATGCTGTTTAGCTTAGAGCAGCAGTGCCTTCAGATGCTTGCCTGTGATCTTTTTATCCACCAGTGATTAATGTGTAGGGTTAGAATAGTCAGTAAATTCCAGTGAGATGTGTAAGCTGTAGCTGTTAAACATAAGTATCTAGATTAGTATGCGTACAGGTTTTTGTTCTCGGAGCCACTTTTCCCTCTGAGACCAGCACTAGATCGGCTAGACATGAGGTATTTAGCTCCGACTATGTGATCTGAATGTTACTGTTTGGAGATTACATTTTCAAGCTGCTTAACCTGGAAAGTTCAGTTACACTTAGACACTTAATATAGTTTGCTTTAATCTTTTCATTTGCAAAGATTCTTTCTCAAAATGAAATATGCAAAAATCATTCTGCTGAGATAAATATGTATTTTTTTTAAAACCACAAACTTGCATATGCACAATTATGTTCATGACAGAGGAGTTTCCCTTTAGCTATATACTTAAAATTTATAATAGGAAACTTTGATTCTTTAATTGATCCAGAAGTCTGGGATTGTTGCGTAATAAAATTAACAGCCTCTTGTTTAATAATTCCAGAATTGAACCCTGGGCTCCAAGTGCAAAAGGCCAACAATCTCCATAATTGTAGCTCATTAAGGATTTAGGAAAATGATGTATTTCAAAGTTAAACAAGGCAGTAGTTGCCCACAGCCCATGCTTCTGAATATGTGGTTTGTGGTAATGATTAGAAACATCACAAGGGTCATATATATGGTTTGGCATTTTTCTACCATCCTTTGGTGTCCGATCCTTGTCAGCTTGTGATCAAACTATGTTTAGTTTCTATCCTCTACTTCTATAACTCTGGATTTTCATCTTAGAGCATGTTTTTTGTTTTGTTTACTATGTAGCCATCATGATCAATACTAGTTTAATAGGTAACTTAATTAGTATTTTATTGTTTAATCCTGGTGCTGAGGATAATCAAGGTAGAAATGCTTCTACAAAGAAATGCTTTGGGCTCTTAGCTTTTATTTCATTAACAGTTTCTTTAAAATAGTGATAATCCATGTTATGGATAGAGGATATTTCTCCTAATTGTTGTTCTATGAATCCTTTGTGCGTGGTGGGGGGAATTAAAATTGGTATAGTGTATTCTGAAACATGACCTCAGTTAATATGTGAGATCTGGCACATGTTGAAAAGAGCCCTTAATGGAGAATCATCTTGATGTTCTTGATCTGTCCTAAGATATATATAAATATATATAGTTTTTAGTGTTCTTTGGTTTCTTTGTGTTCCTTAAGTAAAATATTTAAGTCTTTTAGAGAATGAGATGAGAAATGGGCACTTAAGAAAAACATATTTTAGGTGAAAGTGTTGTTCTTCATGCTGTATTTTCAGTGATTAATGATAATTTAGTGGATTGATTGACCTGCTTCTAGGTTTTATCAGAATATACATATGTATATGGGCATGTATGTCTATAGATATATAGAGATATAGAATGTGTGTCCATATCTATATATATCTCCTTCCTTTAAGCCATCAACAACTCCTGGCTGAATGAGGATTAAGGCACAAACAACATTAGAGAGAGTAGGTATACACATAATTTCTGCCTAGTTCCCAGATTATTTTATAAACCATTTTTCACATTAAAAAAAGTTACCCGTGGGGCCGGCCCAGTGGCGCATTGGAGAGTGCGCTGCTTGGGAGCGCGGCGGCTCTCCCGCTGAGGGTTCGGATCCCATGTGGAGACCGGTTCCCGCTCACTGGCTGAGCGCGGTGCGGGTACAACACCAAGGGTTGTGATCCTGTTGCCGGTCCCCAGTACGGGTGCGACACTGAGGGTTGCGATCCGGTTACCGGTCAGTAAAGAAGACAAAAAGGAAAAAAAAAAAGTTACCCGTGGATGTCTTTTTTAAAAAAGTAATTTAGTTGGCTTTTTTTTGTAGTTTAAATATATTTTAACAAATTGAGGAACTTGAACTATATAAAGTATTTTCAGTATTTCCATCTTAAAATATAATTTTAGAATTGTTGCACAACCAAAAAAACATGTAAAGAAGTATTAAAATGTGAGCAAAAAAGTGTTCTGTATCTTTTAAAATAAATGGTTGTTCTCTTTTTCTTAAAATCTTTTTTTTTTTTTTAAGTTTTTTTTTTAAAAGATGACCGGTAAGGGGACCTTAACCCTTGACTTGGTGTTGTCAGCACCACGCTCTCCCAAGTGAGCCACGGGCCGGCCCTTTAAAAATTTTTCAGTAGATTTATTTTTCATATTTATTTTCTGGTAGATTTTTCAATGTATTATAGCATCACAACCTCAATTTCAGAGCAGAGGCAGAAGAGATGGAGATCTTAAAAAGGAAGAATGTGAAATTAGAAGAGCTTAATAGTTAGCTAAAAATTGTACTAAATGGACTGCCTTTCTCAATCTATAGCTAGTGAATTAAGGGCCATATTACTAAATGTTTTGCTAAATCTGTCAATCCAATTTAAAGAGTTGTACTCTCCATAAACAGTATATTCCCATAACCCATTGTCCATCTCTCTTTTATAACGTGTGTTTCAATATCTGCATACCCATTGGTCCTTGAGTCCCTGTGTGCCAGGGACCTTATTTTAGCCATCTCTGAGTCTCATGAACACTCAATTATTTTGCACTCTATACATGTATGGAATGGAGGGTAGAACACACAGCTAGTCCCAATTTGTTACTGAGTCTCTCTCTTTTTTATTTTATTTATTTATTTAATTTAATTTTTACTTTTGGCCACAAAACAAGTCTTAATGCATTTAAAAAGATCATAGAAAATATGTTCTCTGACCACAATAACAGAAGGAAGTTTAGAAAATTCACAAATGTGTGGAAATTAAACAAAACTCTCCTAAATAAACAATGGGTTAAAAAAAAGAATCACAGGAAAATTAGTACTTTGAGATAAAAATCAAAGTGCAACATATCAAAATTTATAGGATGCAGGATTCATGCAGTGCTTAGAAGAAAATTTATACTTGTAAACACCTACATTAAAAATAAGAAAAATCTCAAATCAGTAATGTAAACTTGTACCTTAAGAGAATAGAAAAAGGAGAGCAAACTAAACCAAAAGCAGATATAAGTAGGAAATAAAGATTACAACAGAAAAATATGAAACAGGGAATTAAAAACCAAAAAAACCAGAAGTTGATTCTTTAAAAAGATCAAAAAAATTTGCAAACCTATATCTAGATTGACCAAGAAAAAAAGAGAGAAGACTGAAACTGCCAAAATCAGAAATAAAGCAGAGGCATTATTACATTGTCATAATGGCTTTTTGTGGTGTTAAAATTTAGTTTCTTTCTCTTTCTCATTTGTATTTTTGTTCTACCAATGGGTTTTGTTCTTTCTTTTGTATTTGTGGTGGTGATTATCATTTTTCAGATTCCAGATGAAGGACTTCCTTCAGGATTTCTTGTAGGTCTGGTTGTGTGGTGATGAGCTCCTACAGTTTTTGTCTGTCTGGAAAATAGCCTATTATTCCCTCATTTCTGAAGGATAGCCTTGCTAGGTATGGTATTCTTGGCTGGCAGGTTGTTTTTCTTTTTCTTCAGTATATTGAGTATATCATCCCATTTTCTTCTGGCGGGTAGAGTTTCTGTTTCTGTTGAGAAGTCTGCTGTTAGAGTGATAGGGGCTCCCTCATAGGTAACTTGACACTTTTCTCTTGCTTCTTTTAAAATTCTCTGTCTTTGAGCTTTGCCAGTTTGACTACAATGTATCTTGGAGAGGATCTTTTGGGTTGTATCTGTTTGGGGATCTCTGAGCCTCCTGGACCTGAAGGTCCATGTCTCTCCCTATACCTGGGAAATTTTCCATTATTATTTCATTGAATAGGTTTCGCCATGCCTTTTCCTTTCTCCTCCTCTTCTGGAACACCCATGATTTGAATGTTTGTGAGCTTAAGGTTGTCTGCTAGCTCTCTTAGATTTTCTTCATTTTTAAAATTCTTTTTTCCTTTTTTTTTGTCTGCCTGAGTTATTTTGAAAAGAGTGTCTTCAGGATCAGAAACTTTTTCTTCTGTTTGTTGTAGCCTGCTGCTTAAGCTCTCCATTGTGTTTTTTCTTTAGTTGAGTGAATCTTTCAGTTCCATGAGTTCTGCTTAAAGAATTCCATGAATTCTTTTTAAGGTATTATCTCTTTGTCAGTTTTCTCCTTCATGTCTTGTATTTTTTTCCTTGTTTCATTATGTTGTTTAACTGAGTCTTCTCATATCTCAGTGAGTTTCCTTAAGATTGCTGCTCAGAATTCCTTATCAGTCATTCTAAGGGTTTCCTGCTCTATAAAGTCTGGTACTTGAGAATTACTATATTCTTTTGGTAGTGTCATATTTTCTTGGGTTTTTATATTTCTGGTACCTCTATGTTGATGCCTGGTTATCTGGTGGAGCAGTTGCTTCTTTTACTACTCTGGAGTGGGCCTTGAGGAGAGAGACTTCCTATTCTCTTTCCAGTCTCTGCTGGTGACTCTCCTAGTTGAGCACCTGGCAGGCTTCCTGCACGGTGGCTGTGCCTACTGCTGTGGTGTCAAGCTGCTTTTCTATCAGCCATGGCTGTGGTGGGCCATGCTCATGAAAGTGGTGTTTTTGGCATGCTCTCCAGCCTGCTTCTGGATGGAGGGGCCTGGCCTCGGCTCCTGTCTAGGACCCTGAGCACGCTCTCTTGCCTGCTTTTGGGCGGTGGGGATGGGATCCCTTGGCTCCTGCCTATAATTCCAGGTGTTGCTCTCTTGCCTCCTGGGTGGGTGGAGGGGATGGCTGCCCGCAGCACCTGCCTAGGACCCCAGGTGTTGCTCTTTTGCCTGCTTTCTGGGCAGAGGGATTGGCTGCCCTTGGCCTTTTTTTCTTTAGAAGTAGTTTTGTAATGGTCTTATCAGAATTAGTGTTTGGGTTTTTGATATTTAACTGTTATTAAGTTGATAATAAATCCTATGAAAGTGGATTTTTTAGAAATAAATGAATCTGTGTTAGCATTACTGTTTAACTCATTCACATTTCCCCTGGATAGTAAATATAAATTGACTTGGGATATAAGTCATCAATCTATTACTGAAAGTATATTAATTCAGCATAAACTGACTTTGCCTGATTTTTAGGTTATGGGAAGCTGGTTGGAAGCAGCGGTATTACAAGAACAAATTTGACGTTGATGCGGCTGATAAGAAATTCCGTCGTAAAGTTGTACAGTCTTACGTTGAAGGACTTTGCTGGGTTCTTCGATATTATTACCAGGTACAAAATGAATATTTTCCTCCAAATCTCTAGCTAATCATTTTAGAAAGATAGTATTATCTATGATAATGTATATTATTTAGCTATATTCTGAAATGAAACCCAGACTCGGTTTTTTAAGCTTTCTTCTCAGAAATTCATAACCATAAATAATATATTTGTCAAGACTTTGAAGCTCTGTAGGTATTAACATATAAACAAAGCTAATTTTTTTTTGTTGTGTTAAAGGGTTTTCAACATCAAGTAATTGAGTTGATCGTACTTTGTTTTTAAGATGATTTAGAGTTTAGTGTTTTTTTAAATTGGAATTTTAAAATAACTAGGTAATTAATTGGTAGTCACTAAATGACAGAGCCTGGAAAATACCAATAAGAATTTGAGAGGAAATTGAATGATACTATTGTCTCTGTAATATAGTGATGTTACATGGGATGCATTCTAATTGGAGTAATCTGTATCTGCACTTTTTGATAATTGAGTTGTCAGATTGCCCAGAGATTAGGTAGACATATTGAGGATCATAACACTGATAATGTCTGGTTTCATGAGAACAAACCAAGTTAAGTCTGGTGTGATTGGGAAATAGATGAGGTTTGTCAGTAAGAAGAAAGTAGAAAGTAACAATGCACCAAGTATCCACTATAAATTGGGAAATAGATGAGGTTTGTCAGTAAGAAGAAAGTAGAAAGTAACAATGCACCAAGTATATAGTATTCTATTTGTATGTTTTACTTCTACTCTCAACATTTTAATTTGCTAGGTACAGAGTCAGAACACATGTCAGGAAGACATCTCTTTTCTATGAGTATAATTTGCTTTTATTTTCTTTTTGGCATGTTTACTCAAATATTTTTATGAAAGTTGTCATGTGAAAATATCGTGAATTGTAAAATGAAACTTTTGGCTGTTTTATTCTCAAACACTGTTCTAATGATGTCCCTAATCACCTACATGCTAAGAAAACGTTAGCTATATCTGCTCTTGGTTTTATTTGATGATGTCAGCTCTAGAGTTGGAAAGTAATGTTATCTAATATATTTTAAGGATAAAATTTTTCCCCAAATTGTTTTGTGGATATAGTTTGGCATTAACTACTGATTATTCAAGATGCTTTGCAGTATTTTTTTAGACAAGGAGCCAAGCAGTCAAGCAGAAAGTTCAGATTTAATTAAAACAGTTTTTAGGAATCATGGAAAAATTAATATATGGAATATATACCAAAAGTCATATGTTTTATAAATATAATGTTATAGGTTAATAGTTTAAGTTTTGTTTTTTCAGTCTTTTCATCATTAACACAAGTTTTTGCTTTGTTATTTTTTGTTTGTTTTTAATGATTCTAGGGCTGTGCTTCCTGGAAGTGGTATTATCCATTCCATTATGCACCATTTGCTTCAGACTTTGAAGGTATTTCAGATATGTCTTCTGATTTTGAGAAGGGTACAAAACCGGTAAGCTTGATTGTTTGGAGTCATAAAATTCATAGAATTTTGGATTAGATAATAATTTGGGGTCTTATATTTAAGTTTTTTCCTTCTCGCAGTTTAAACCACTGGAACAACTTATGGGAGTTTTTCCAGCTGCAAGTGGTAACTTTCTACCTCCATCATGGCGGAAGCTCATGAGTGATCCCGTGAGTCTCTTAATATTTTGAGTATGTTGTTAACTGGGTTTTTGTCAAATACAATCATGCATTGCCTAATGATGGGAATACTTTCTAAGAAATGTCTCTAGGCAATTTCAGTTTTGTGCAAATATTATAGAGTGTACTTACACAAATCTAGATGGGATAGCCTACTACAAATCTAGGCGATATGGTATAGCTATTATAATCTTGTGGGATCACTTATATTTTCAGTCTGTTGTTGACCAAAGTGTCATTATGAGGTACATGACTGTAGTTTATTAACATTAGTCACAATTGCTTTTGCCTCTCATAGTTAAAATGGTGAAATGCGGAAACAAAGTATTTGAGTTCTGTATATTTTTCACTATATATGTATGTCTGTGTATGTGTGTGTGTGTATATATATATATATATACAAAGTATTTGAGTTCTGTATATTTTTCACTATATATGTATGTCTGTGTATGTGTGTGTGTAAATATGATATATCTTTTTTTTCCCCCCTGCTTTCTTTGGCCATCAGTACACTACCCAGTAAATAAAATTGATTTGTGTTAGGGAAAAATTCTTAAAACAGTCATTTTGTTCTTAGCCTACCTGTAAGTCTTCATTTTTATTTTTTCTAGCCATGCATGGTAGCTACCAGATCTCTGGCTTACCTGAAATCACCTCTGAATTTGTTATGTGTGCTAATTAGAAAGAGTGAGACCCAGCCAGGAAGTAGGAATTGTTAGAGTAAATAAACTCACTGCCAGCCTGCCTGCGGCCCACAGCTGTCAGTTCTAAAATTCTTCTATTATAATGCCTTTTCTTTTCATCTTTTAAAATAAAATTGTTAATTTTGTTTTGCTACACTTGGGAATAATGACCTCATATCTTAATAACATTTTTAAAAGGAATGTACTGCATTTTCTCATCAGCCTGATAACTTGAGTGAAAGTCAGATCAGATTCTTTATGACAGATATGTGTGACTTTTGCTTTGATTCTTTACATTTCTCCCTGATACAGGATTCTAGTATAATTGACTTCTACCCTGAAGATTTTGCTATTGATTTAAATGGGAAGAAATACGCGTGGCAAGGTAAAATTTAGACATCATTCCTTTTTGTTAAAACTTTTCGGTAAAACTGTGAAAAGAACATGATTTATGGGATGAAAGAATTCTGTAAAAGATAAATATTTTAAGAGTTATATGTGAAAAATTGATATTTCTTTGTTCAGCCTGAGATTAGCAATGATTAATAGTAGTTTTAATAGTGACATTCTGATAAACAGTAAATTAGGTTGAAATAGGTTAATAATTACACCTTTTGTCTCCTTTGTGATTAATTAATGGGACTGTTCGTTCAGTCAGTAGCTCATTCATATCTTTTGAAGTTGTTGAGAGATGTAGAAACATGACAGCGTTTATGTAGAGATTCACTTATATTCCATGGAAACTTATGAAAAATATACTAGAAACTTTTATTTAGTTTAAATACTCACCACTGATTATTATTACCTATTATTTTTTCATTTCTTCAATTAACAGATCTTGTAGGAATGGCAATATAAAATTAGTACTAAATTTAAGGTGCTATTCACCATTCAACCAATATGTGATAATGATTGGCTATAAAACACAATAAAGAAATCTCTCTCACACAGTAAGCAAACTATCGTTTCACACCAAAGGCCCCGTTTAGCAAATCATTTTACCTTTTCTTCCACCATACATTTTTCTAGGAAAATAAGTACATTTGGTAAAACCGTATTTTTACTTTTTCTTTGATTGCTTCCTGTGATTGGGAATAAATAAAATGACTTAAAGAGAATAGTGAGGCAAAGAGGCATAAATAATAATTTACCAATTGAAAAATCATAATTTTATGAAATTTTAGAGTTGACTTTTGCTTTATGTAGTAGCAGAAACTTCATGTTACTTTAATGGAATCATAATGGGAAATGCACCCCATTGGTTGGGGTTGTGTAAGTGATGTGCTCCATGGTCTTAATACTGCTGTGTATGGATTGGAGTCTCAGGTTGTTTTTGAAGGCCCTTTGTGGAGTATGTTGTGATTAAAGTAGAGAGGGAGGAGGCATAGGAGAATGGGGGGTGATAAAGTAAAAGTAATAAATAATTAAATCCTTTCCTGGGTTTATTAAATAAACAGGTAATTAAATATATAAATGTGCACATGACTTGCCAACTATATCATTGTATTATATATCATCTCTATTACTGACAATATCTCATTTTCAGTATAATTTAACTACGGGGAAAAGTAAGGTAATGTACAACAGTTCCAGTTTTTCCACATCCTCACCAACATTTGTTATTTTCTGTTTTCTTAATAATAACCATCCTAATGGGTGTGAAATGGTATCTCATTGAGTTTGATTTACATTTCCCTAATGATTAGTGATATTGAACATATTTTCATGTGCTTACGAGTCGTTTCTGTATCTTTGGAGAAATGTCTGTTCAAATCCTTTGCCCATTTTTGAATTGTGTTTGATTTTTATTGTTGCATTGTGGGAGTTTTTATATATTCTAGATATTAACCCCTTATTGAATATATGACTTGCATATATTTTCTTCCATTCTTTGGGTTGTCTTTTCACTCTGTGATAATATCCTTTTATGCACAGCAGTTTTTAATTTTGATGAAGTCCACTGTATCTTTTTTTTTTTTTTTTTTTTCTTTTTTTTTTTTTTTTTCTTTTTTTTTTTTTTTTTCTTTTTTTTTTTTTTTTTCTTTTTTTTTTTTTTTTTCTTTTTTTTTTTTTTTTTCTTTTTTTTTTTTTTTTTCTTTTTTTTTTTTTTTCGTGACCGGCAACGGATCGCAACCCTCAGTGTCGCGCCCGTACCGGACCAGGACCGGCAACGGGAACGCAACCCTCGGTGTTGCCCCCACACCTCGCTCAGCCAGTGAGCGGGAACCGGTCTGTATGTGGGATCCGAACCCTCGGCGGGAGCGCCGCCACGCTTCCCAAGCGGTGCACTGTAGCAGTGCGCCACCGGGCCGGCCCCATAGTGTATCTTTTTTGTTGTTGCTACTTATTGTTCCTTTGGTGTTATATAGCCAGGAAATCATTGCCAAATCCAATGTCGTGAATCTTTCCCCTTATGTTTTTTTTTGTAAAAGTTTTATAGTCTTAGCTCTTACATTTAGGTCTTTGATCCATTTTGAGTATATTTTTGTGTATGGTGTAAGGTAAGGGTCCATCTTCATTCTTTGCATGTGGATATCCAGTTTTTCTAGCACCGTTTATTGAAAAGACCATCCTTTCCCTGTTTAACGGTCTTGGCACTCTTGTCGAAAATCTATTGACCATACGTATGAGAGTTTATTTGGGGGCTCTCTATTCCATTGGTTTATATGTCTGTCCTTAATGCTAGTACCATACTCTTGTAATTACTGTAGCTTTGTAGTTAGTTTCAAAGTCAGAAATTGTGATATGAGAGTTTATTTGGGGGCTCTCTATTCCATTGGTTTATATGTCTGTCCTTAATGCTAGTTCCATACTCTTGTAATTACTGTAGCTTTGTAGTTAGTTTCAAAGTCAGAAATTGTGTGTTTTCCAGCTTTATTCTTGTTCGAGATTGTTTTGGCTATTTGAGGTCCTTTGAAATTTGGTATGAATCTTAGGATGGGTTTAAACTTTGACCTTTAATATTTTTATATTGTATGTAATATTTTATATAAATTTCTCACTTATTAGGCTTAGTAGCAAGAACATACTTTTCTTGAGGTAAAATTTAATTCTATTAGGGAATATAATTATTTCCTTATACTTGCTTTGAAAACTTAGTGAAAGTAATGGTAATACTTGGATAAATTCTTGCCTGGGTTGAGTACATCTTAAAATGATAGGAGATAAAATATATTTGAGTACTTTTCCAACATCTTTTGAGTATTTGTACTTACCAACATTGTATGTAATTTAATAGCAATATTGTGTTTTTGTAAAATTTGCTTAGTATAGATATATAGCATAGTTGTTTTGGTTGCTATATATTTTATATGTGAACAGAGAATTTAAGTAATTTGATCAAGAGTCACACAGAAGCAGAGCAAAGATGTAAACCCAGAGAGTCTGACTCTAGAGCTCACATTTGAAATAACTATTTACCTAAATCTTACCACTACTTGGGCTACCTCTGGGTGGTTGAGAGGATTAAATGAAGTAATGCATGTAAAATAGTAAGTGCTTAGAAGACATTCGTTGCCATTCTCATTTTTGCTATCAGCTCAGTCTCAAGCATTATTGTTATTGTACCTGGATGTAAGGCATTTCTTTCTACCCTGCCCGGTGGGGCCAATTTGTTGTGTAATAACTTTATTGCTAATCTTGTAAATTACAGATTGGATTTAGTTGCTGGAATTGATATTGTAGGAACTTCTTAATAGTAAATTTTTTTTAGATCCTAAATCTAGTAGGTAGAAAACAAAAGCTCAGAAGTGCCATAGTTTCTCATTGATATATTTCTCTTACGTGTCTTACTAAAAAAACTTGAGCAACTCTCTAGGTTTTTTTTCATGTAAGTGTTTACCAGTAATTGAAATAGCCTGAGAAATGAAACATACTAATATCTGTGAAAATACTTTTTTTAGGCCCTTCAAAATTCATACTAGAACTTAGTTTCTTTTTAAGTGAAGAAAAAAAAAAAAAAAGGTTCTCCTATTAGGTAGTGTAATTGAACAAGTTTCCTAACTTTGAAAATAAAGGAGCTAAATGATTAATGACAACTTTGGAAACCGTTTCATTTCTCATAATTTTAAAGGGAATAATCTCAAATATAGCAGTTTTGAGTTGCAGTAATTTCAAAATTATTTAGCTCTATTTAGCATTTGTTGTTGCTATTAATCATAATATTTTTATTTAGTCAGAATACTATTTATATTGTACAGAGCAGAACATATACATTCTTTAATAACTTTGTATATTATTCTAGTAATAGATATTGTATTAATGATATGCTTCTTTGAAAATTATGCTTATGGGTCCAAATAAAGCAATGCCCTTAATTCCAGCATGCTTCAGAGGATCATTTTCAACCCCAAAATGAACAGGATCTGTTTTATACCCTGCCCACAAGTTATTTAAGCTTGTTTGTAAAGCTTTTTGAAAATATAATCAGTAGGCTTTAAAATGTCAACAGAATACTCTGCAGTTTTAGTATTGGAAGAGACCTCCCATGTATTCTAGTTGAACAGACTTTCTGAGTATTTTAGTAGAATGACCTCATTTTACAAAAGAAGAAACTAAGGACTAGAAAGATGAAAGGACAAGGTTGAGCCCCAAGGAGATTAACTGGCTTGCCTGGGGGACATCTTAGTAAATAAGGCAAGAACACAGACTGGTATCCAGGTGGCCACTGTTCATTTCATTTAAAAATTTTATCACCACAGAGTTAAGATTCAGAAAACATGATTTTCCCTATGAGCCATTTTAAGAATGAAAAATATGTAAATTTTTTTTTTTTTTTTTACTATACCATGTAGAAAATATTTGTATCTTAGTCTTGGCTACATGAGACAGAGTTCAGTTCCAAAATATTTTTGTATCAACAAGGGTACTCTGTTAGAAACATTTATTTGGATCAGTGGTAAACTGGAATTTAGGTGATCCTGATAGCTGCGGCTGTTGATGTGTGTTTGTGTCCCCAGGTGTTGCCTTGTTGCCGTTCGTGGATGAACGAAGGCTGCGAGCTGCCCTAGAAGAGGTATACCCAGACCTCACTCCAGAAGAGAGTAAGAATTACACTTCTGCTTAGGGAGCATTGAGTCTGTGTAATATAGACTTTATATTTCCATATAAAATTAGACCTTTCTTTGTCACATTTGTCAAATTGCCTGAATGAAGGGTGCATAAATCATTGATTTTACTTTATAACAAATGTTAACTTTGCTTCTTAATTTATTATCTGCAAACTGAGTAGTACTTAACTTACAAGTGTTTGTTAATTTTATTAAAAAGCAACACTTCAAGGTTATCCTTTGACTTTTTTATTCCTATATGATGTGCATACACAAAGGTATTTTGCTTGTTGGGAAGATATTATTCATTTCTTCCATCTACCTTCTTCTCTATATCTCCCCTCACCCTCCCCAATAATAATCTGACTTGAAAGGTTAGGGTGAAGTAAAAGCATGTGACCTTAGGGTGCTAATTTAAAATGTTATTTTTCATAAAACATAGCATTTTGTAATTAATACTGACAGTAAAAAATGTTCAGATTGGGAAATTGCAAAACTGGCCTCTATTGAAAAATATATTTAATACCAATATAATAAGTCTGTATAACAATTTCTCTATCAACTCTACAGAATGATCTTTGTCATCAGATGATACAATTTGTGTTTCCTCAGAGAAAGTTTATATATTTCTTACAGTAAGAAACTGAGTTCTTTATAAATAAGAAAACCTTGCTCTTTGTCTTATAATATATTCAGATATTCCTTCAGTGATTTTTTTTTTTTGATAGCCATTGATCTTTGAAACCTTACTGTCAGAGTATTTTTTCTTACTTAAAGGCACATCACACATTTAGATTTATCACTTTTAAATTATTTTTTGTAAACATTATAATTAAGGTTTTAAAACTTAGATGCTTTTCCTTATTTTATTCTCATCAAAGTTGGTCTTGCAGATACATTTGTTTGACGGGTAGGTCTTATTCTTTTCTTACTTTCCCCCCAGTCAGAAGAAACAGCCTTGGAGGTGATGTCTTATTTGTGGGGAAACACCACCCACTCCACGACTTCATTTTAGAACTGTATCAGACAGGTTCCACAGAGGTATGGTGTGCAATTTGCTTAATTAATTTATTCAGTTTATTAGGAATGCATTTTAAAAAATTTTGGTAAAGTATACATAACATAAAATTTACCACTGTAACCATTTAAGTGTATAATTCTGTGGCATTAAGTATATTCACAGTTTTGGGCAACCATTCCCACTGTCCATTTCCAGAATCTTTTCATCTTCACAAACAGAAATTCTGTACCCATTAAATAATATTAAACGCTCTTTCCCTATCCTGCCCTCTTGCCAGCCTCTGGTAACTTATCTTCTACTTTCTATCTCTATGAATTTGCCTATTCTTGGTACCACACATAAGTATAATCATATAATATTTGTCCTTTGTGTCCGGCTTATTTCACTTAGCATAATATCTTCAAGGTTCATCCAGTGTTGTAGCATGTACTAGAATTTCATTCCTTTATATGGCTGAATAATATACCATTGTATGTATGTGTCACATTTTGTTTATGCATTCATTTGCTGATGGACACGGGTTATTTTCACCATTTGGCTCTTATGAATAGTGCTGCTATGAATGTTGGTGTACAAGTATCTGCTTGAATCACCTTTTCCATTCTTTGGGTATATAATCAGGAATGCATTTTTCCACAGCCAATGGATGTACCACCTGAGCTATGTCATGGGATTCAAGGAAAGTTTTCTTTGGATGAAGAAGCTATTCTTCCAGATCAGTAAGTATTTATTTGTATATAATTGAGGTGACAAGAACAAGAAGTTTAGTTAGTGTTTTTCCCTTGTTGTCTAAATGTTTTATTTTCCAGTAATATTGAGAAAATTATATTAAAAACGAAACAGAACCCTGCTATACTAGAAAAGGTTTGGATTCAAAGCCTAGCTCATCAACATAGTAGCTGTGTCATCTTGTGCATGAGCTCTGGGGGTCCCTGAAACTTTTTCAGGGCATCCACAAGGTCAAAACTATTTTCATGATAATACTAAGATGTTATGGTGTTATTTGCTTTTCTCTCTGTTTCTCTCTTGAGTGCACAGTGGAGTTTTTCAGAGGCTCAATATAGTGTGATAGAAGTAGAGAAGAGAATCCAGTTATTAAATTTATATTAAGCCAGATATTAATGAAATTTTCAAAAATGTGAAGGAATGATGCTCTTCATTTTTATTTTTGTTTTGCTTTTTTAAAAAGTTTTTCATAAAATTGTAATAGATTTATAATCTTTAATTTAATATTTTAAAAATTTCTTAGTTTTAATTTTTAATAGGTAAATACTGATAAATATAATCAACATAAACAAAAGCTCTTTGAGGTCCTCAGTAATTTTTAAGAGGGTGAAAGGGTTTTGAGACCAGAGTTTGAGAACTGCTGCTCCAGGGTATAGTCATTTCTTAATATCTGTGGGCGATTGGATTCAGGACCCCCGTGGATATCAAAGTCCAAGGATGCTCAAGCCCCTGATGTAAAATAGTGTAGTGTTTGCATATAACCTATGCACATCTTCCTGTCTGCCTTTAATCATCTCTAGATTACATATAATACCTAATACAATGTAAGTAGTTGTTATACTGTATTGTTTAGGTAATAATGATAAGAAAAAAACATCTGTACATGTTCAGTACAGATGCAATTTTTTTTTCCCAAATATTTTCCATCCACGGAACATCCATTGATGCATAACCCACAGTTATGTAGGGCTGATTGTATATTCAGGAATGGAATTGCTGATCATAGAGATGTGTATATCTTCATCTTTTCTAGATAGTATTGGGGGTTTTCCATCCACGGAACATCCATTGATGCATAACCCACAGTTATGTAGGGCTGATTGTATATCCAGGAATGGAATTGCTGATCATAGAGATGTGTATATCTTCATCTTTTCTAGATAGTATTGAGGGGTTTTTCACACACACACACACACACACACACACACACACTCTTCTGTTATTAACATGTTACAGTATTATTGAGTGAATTTTAAACTATGTTGTAATCCCAGTGGCAGTTCGTAAGAAATCTTGTTGCTCTACACTTTGGTAAATCCTTGTAATTGTTATTACTTTAATTTTTGTCAATCTGGTGGAAGCTTATTGGCATCTTGTGGTTTAGAGTTGCATTTCTCTTAATACTAATGATTTACGTTACTGTGATTACATAATTACATAATGCCTTATGGTTAATGGTTAACCATTTGGTTTTCTTCATTTGTGATGTAACTTTTCTGTTTTTTTATTGGGTAATCATTTTTCCCCCCTTTTTGGTTTGTAGGTATTCTTTATAAATTCTGGTGTAAATCCTTTGCACCTAATTGTTTTCTGTTTATGAGATAATAAACAAGGTAGACAGGGTCATTTTTTAAAGATATAAATGGTTATATTGTTTTTGTTAGTTCATTCTAATGATTTCTCTTTTCTACAGCCTGACATAGAAGCATCTTACTTCTACTTACATAAAAAGTTCCAATTTACAAATAGATGGTTCTTTTCTTGTTTTCTTTTAGAATGGTATGTTCTCCTGTTCCCATGTTACGGGATCTGACACAGAACACTGCAGTCAGGTAAGTTTTCCAAAATTCATGGCACTTGCTCAGAACATAGCTCTGAATGTGCAGATAAATTTTTAAAAGACCTCAGATTCACAAGGAAGTGGCAGCTGTTAATCCACCAGTGCTTTGAGATTGGAGGGGCCCTGTGTTGCAGACCTCAAAGCAGAGGCTCTTGACTTTAAATTATGTATATTGTTAAGGTTACTGATTTAACAAGCTTGCTTATCTGTTTTCTGGTTTCCCCTGACAACCTGTAATTCTTCCTGGATTAAGAAAGTGGGGGATAGAGAGTAAGAGTTTCTAGTAGTTTGCTGTAGAGGCAAAGAGACCTCTACAGTCCAGAGTAGAGGATTATAACAGATGATTTTAGTTATGTTTATAGTTGTGACCCTGCAGAATTTCAAAACAAAAATATTATGTAGTATATTTTAGTTAAGAAGAGATAGAATGCGTTTGTGAAAATTTTTATCACTAATTATTATAAACTTAAAGGGCTAATTTCTGCTATATGGAAAACTTAGTCATACCTTAGTTCTTCAATGCTGACAGCATTTTCTGTTGAGTAAAAATAATGTAAAATGTGATATGACTATTTAGAATAAAAACAAACTTAACTACTCATTTGTGTAATATAATTACTAATATTGGCAGCAGAGTTTAGTTGTTATTTTCTTCAGTCTTTAGGCAAGACTAAAGCAAACACATCTCAGGTATTTAAGAATTTGGTAAAATCCTGCTAATCCTGAATCTTCCTTTCTCACCCATTTTTATTTCTCTCCCTTTCAGGAAATACTTTAGATTTTACTTAGATTTCTCACTGTGAAGTATAAGTATGCTTATATCCTATTTTTAATGGATTTAGGCAGTAACTGATTGCCATTGCTTTTATTTAAAGAAAACTATTGTGAGTTTGGGAAATCTTCCTGTATCAACTGCTTTCATTTATCTTTACATGTAATTTTGTTGTTTATCTTTACACATAATTTGTCTTGATTCTTTGTCTTTGTGCTCTTTTGATAAGGGTGGGAGTACAGAATTGGAAGCCATGCTCCTAAGCCCAATACAAACAATCTGTCTCTGACAGATTCAGTGTGGACACTGCGCATTAACCCTTGGGGTCTCTAGCTGCATCGGTGCTTCAGGCCAGTGAATTCCATCAGTTCCCTCTTTGGATTATCACGTTTGCTGTGCTCCCTAAATTTTTCTGCATATTTTCAAGGGCTTTTCTGCCTAGCTCTCTAAGAAAATAGTCAATTCTACTTAACTTTCTAATTGGGATAAAGAGGCTCGCCCAAAGGAGAGTTATAGAATTAATGGACAGATTGTGGAATGTTTGTTTGGATGATGTTGGTTTTGGTTGCTTGGTTATTTCTGAGCTTGAAGCAGTGTTTGTTTGGTACCCACTATGTTCAGAAGATTATTAAATTATAAAACAAATCCCAAATCTAGGTGCATATTCATGTGTATATTGAAAATAATTTCATAATAAAATTGACTTAGTTAATTTCCTAAAGATTCATGAAAAGACCAAAGTTAACTTTTACTTTATGCAAAGTAATTTTTAGTGTTTTCTCTGAGGGGTGCTTTTTAGGCCACTATCCAGTTTACTGTAGGTTTTGTTTGTGTGTTTGCTTTAGGGCTTGTTTTGTATCCCAGTGATATATTTGCTTTATAAATGAAAATCTGAAAATGCAGCCTCCAGTGTAAATTGCCAGTCATTTTATTTTGACTCCTGGTATTTTTCTCCCTTCTCCATTTGGGTGCATCCAGTATCCCATTCCTTATGTGAGAAGTTGTTTCATCAAATTGAGCTTAGGTCAGTTCTTCTCATCGCATTTGGTCTTATATGTACTTTTGAGAAAATATATTGTTCAGGTTATGGAAGTGTTTTAAGTTCATAGAAGTACCCTTACAGAGTATAGTCAGCTGTGACCTAGGACGTCATTGTTTTTCAAAATTGCTATTCCATAAATCATTCAACATATTAGTAGGTTAACTTTGAATAGAACTGAGCTATCTCCCCTTAATTTTCCCCATTCTGATGTTCCTCTACTATTATATTTAGCTTAGACATAGTATTTTCCAAATAATTCCCTGTTAACTTTAAATATATAAAACCTTCTGTGTATGATTTTAAAATTACAGAGAAATTATTTTCCCAGTGCAACTGAACAATTTTCTTTTCATCTAGAGGGATAGGTGTATACACACGTGCATACACACATGCTTTTGCTTTTTAAAGGCCTGTCATAATTTGATAGAGCCACAGCTTTGTGCCTGAATCCCCACTTCCTCAAAGGAAGATACCTCCTCACTACCAGGCCGGTCCCTTCAGTACCCCTTTGACCTCTGTGCTTTCCTCCCATTGTTTAGAGTGTTCTTCCCTTCTTTTCTCTGCCTACTCATGGCCGACCCTTTGTTGCTTTTCTTTTTTTCTAAGACATAATTTATAATTTATGTAATTTTTATATATGTTATTTTTGGCAGTAGCATTGTTAGGTTTTTCCTTTTTCTCTCATAGCACTAGCATAGTTCTAAACCCATATAAAAGCTCAATTGTTTATAGTGTTGAAACCAGTGTTTGCCAAAGTGTTTCAGGAGCCTGAGCTTCTTTCTTCAGAGGAGTGTTTCTCAAACTTTCTGTATTTGCCTTTGGATGAATCAGGCAAGGAACAGAATGTTTTATCTCTTTAAGGAAATTTTTTTTTTCCTTTTTGTCTTTTTTCGTGACCGGTAACGGGATCGCAACCCTCGGTGTCGCGCCCGTACCGTGACCGGCAATGGGATCGCAACCCTCAGTGTCGCGCCTGCACCACGCTCAACCAGTGAGCGGACCGGTCTCTATATGAGATCCAAACCCTCGGCGGGAGCGCCACCACACCCCCAAGCGCAGCACTCTACCAAGTGCGCCACTGGGCTGGCCCTAAGGAAATTTTTTTAAAATTTGATGTAACCATTTCTGTGGCATTTGTAATGCTCATGGTTGACAAGCAGATAAAGTCTGAAGGAAGTGGAATACATGCAGTCAGCAGTAGACTTGCTGGTGGAAAACACCCTCACTGCCTGCAGTGCTTTTTAGGACACTTTTTATGTCACCATCCTATAAACTCTTTAAGTGTTTTAAAATGTCAAGTATATGAATCATGACATTTTCTCTGCAAGAATAGTTTACATTGGTTTGCTGATTTAGCATTAATTATGAAATGTATCAGGAAAGGGTAGAGTAAAAATGGAACTTGATATTTGGAGTTTTCTGCTTTCTTTGTAAACTATGCTAGCACTCTCAAACAATAATATTACTTAAAATAGCATTTCTAAGGATAATTCTTAAAGTGAATTCGGTCAGAAAAAGTTGTACATGCCATTCCTTTTCTCTTGAGATTTTGCTACAATATTTTCTTCTTACCATTAGTGTTGAAAGTGCTACTTGTGATACAAATAAAAGCACTGCTCGGTTTCCTTATTTTCAACCATGCTTAGGTTATATGTTTTTATTTATTTTGTTTTTGGTATATTTATGAAGACAATCGGGTGATTAAAATAACGGGGGGCGGGGAGGTTACCTGTCGAGGAAGGGACCCATTATGCTACTCGTGGGGGAGAGCTGGTGTGGTAGATAGAAGCTGATGCTGGGGGAGTCAGCACTGTTTAGCCTGCATTTGGGAAAAGTGGATAAAAATACTTCTGCTGTTTACAGAATCAGATGAAACATCAGAAACCTAAGCACAATTTTCTTACTTCAGCTGGGCAGCCTATTGAGTCCATAGGCTGTTCTGTTAACTCATTTCCTCCCTGTATTTAACTTTGCAGAGATTGAGGGTGCTTCTGTCCTTATCTCAGTGTACTGCTTTCTCTCTACAGATGAACACTCCACAATTAATCTCTTTTGTTTTTGATGGTGAAAATTGTCCAAGGGTAAATCTCTACATTTTTTCCCCTTTGGTGCTCTTATCTGTAAGAATTTAAATTATATAAACCTGAAAAAAATGAAGGAACTTCAAAAGTTTGGGTCCATATAAAAAGTTCCCCTTGGATCCTTGCATAATGGGCTCCTGTCCAGTATGTCTGTTTTACTTTTAGGAAGTTTGAGTGTGGCTGATGTTACCACATTGGAAAAAGCACGTTTCTAAAAACATAAAAGGTCTTAGCATACATTTTGGGGGACAAATTAAAATACTAAAAGTCAACCAGTGAAAGAAAAGCTTAACTCATTTTACGAGAGAGTGTGTCTTCATATTGTTCTCAAAGACCCAAGGAAAAGGAATGCTTTAATATTTGGGATTGTAAATAGTGTCTTTGTCCCTTCAGTGGGGACTTCCAAACTTATTTTTAGATACTCCTCTTCTGTCTCCTAATGGTTTGCACTATAGCAAACATATGGATCATTTTGTCAAGTGTGGCTCTGAGGGGAAATAGGGGAGATCTTGGAGATTGTTTTCCTATTGGCTTGGAAATTGTTTCCCTTTCAGGGCACGAATGTAAATAATGTAATTTTTAAAACAATTTTATTTAGGAATAATTGACATACAGTAATGTGATATTTGATGAATAAATGGATTTGTTTTCCCAAACAGTAGTTACAGGTGTTTTATTAAATCTCTTGTTATAACCATTGTCCTTTAAGAGGGATTATCCTTGTCACCCTGGCATTATCTCTTCTCCCTGAAAGCATGTTACCTTGGCCGTGTTTTTCATTTTCCTACATATCAGGTCTTTCGGTGCTTGTGTTGTAGATTGTCATCTCAAGCCCTCGTCTGAATCTGATCTTCATTCTAGTTCCAGCCCTGCCATTCCATTTACTTTCCCAGAATTTCTTTTTTTTAAAAATTAATTTATTTTATTTTATTTTTTTTGTCTTTTTCGTGACTGGTAAGGGGATCACAACCCTTGGTGTGGTGTTGCCCACACCGCGCTCAGCCAGTGAGCGCACCGGCCATTCCTATATAGGATCCGAATCTGCAGCGGGAGCGTCGCTGCGCTCCCAGTGCTGCACTCTCCCGAGTGCGCCACGGGCTCGGCCCTACTTTCCCAGAATTTCTATCTCAAATGCATATATAGGATCCGAATCTGCAGCGGGAGCGTCGCTGCGCTCCCAGTGCTGCACTCTCCCGAGAGCGCCACGGGCTCGGCCCTACTTTCCCAGAATTTCTATCTCAAATGCGTGTTGAAGGCTCTTTCCTAGACTATGTCGGTGACCGCTTTCTGGCTGTCTCCATCTGCTGTCTTACACATTGCTGCTGGGTTATTCTTTCCAGTGCATCTTTGATGACTTTTACTTCCTTACTGACCACTTGAAATGGCTTCACACTGTAGTAACATAAACTCTTCATGACCATAACCCAATTCAATTGGCCTTACTTCCACTTCTGTTCATGTACTTTTCACTCCAGTCTGGTACTTCTCAACTGGGGTCCCACATGAGAATTAAGCCTTGAGAACTTAAAGAATCTGTTGTATGTTACAAATCAGTATGTGTCCTGTGCCTCTAGAATGTTATTAGCTATTTATCTTCCTTGGGAGAATTGAGAATGTAGTCACTCAAATCATTTTTTGGAGGCTTACTTCTCTCCCAGATCCCCACTGAGGACTTCTTCAATTAAGCTGAACTTTTCTTTGGTCCTGGGACCACTTTCTGTGTCTTCGTTCTGTTTATTTCCTCTGCCATCCTGTAACCAGTCCTGTTCAACCTCAAAGCACAGCCTTTTGAATGAGTTTTCCTTGATCTCCAGGTGAAAGAATTCTCTTCCTCCTACCCCGTACATCTATACCTTGAGCCCATGCTGACACAGACATGTGTGGAAAGTGTGTGCACACACATGCTTTGACTCAGCATCTTCTGTGCCTGTTGCATTTTTACTTTCTTCCTTATAAAACTGTTATCAAACATTTCTTATTTCCCTTATTAGAAGGGGAAGCAGATTTGAGGCCTGGTCAGTGTGTGTACCCCCCTCACACCGTGATACTTGTATGCAACGGGCAGTCTAAGCATTTAGTAAACTGATGAAAAGCCTTGCTGAAACAAAGATAATCTGCTTTGAGACACTTTGGTTGTAAATCTTGCTTTGTTACCAGTTTTCTCTCTTTACTTTGTATCTACAAAGCCTTAAGGAGCCCAAATACTTAACTACCATTTTCTCTGTTATCCTCTTAAACTTTTATTACTGCCTCTTTTGCCTTGCCCTGCCTTATGCCACCTTGCCCTGCCTTATGCCACCTTGCCCATTAGAGAATATTTGAGGTAAATACAGTTTCCAGTGAAGAGTGAGTTGTAAAAGGAACCAGTTGAGTAAGAAGGCATTGTTCAGCTGTTTTTGAGCTCGTAGTATTTTTATTATAAGTGAAGCTATTTTTGTGTACTGAAAATATACAGTTAAATCCTACTGCAATGAAAATTTCAGTTATAAAAGATGGACCCTAGTTGTTAAAGTGGCTATACCAAAAAAAAAAAAAAGTTAGCTATCTAAAAATGTCAGCCATTTCAATAAAACCTTCAAACTTTCAGTAAAATCTTTTTAACTGACTGTAATCTGTAATCACTGGAGGAATTTTGGGGGGAACAAAAACACAAAGGAAAGGAGACAATTATACAGAGAAAACCACTGATAACCTATTGATGAATATATGTGTAGTCTGTTGTATATATATTTTTCCCATGTCGTTAAGTATTCTGCTATTAAATTTTTAACAATATCATCTGAGGATTTTTAGTTAGAACTCTAGTTTCTTTAAGCAGTCCACTCTTATTATACACTTAGGCTCTACAGTCTTTTAATATTATAAGTAATGGTGTTATGAGCATCCTTAAAGATAAATTTCACACATAACTAGAGTCCTAGAGAAGAGAAATTGCTTTGTCAGAAGGAATACTTATATACTTACCAACCTTTGGAATAGACAGACACACACACCCATAGCAGAAAGCAAGTTTGACTCAGATTATATTCAGAATCTGTGTATAGCTTTAAAAATAGGCATTTGTGTAGTTTTCAAATTCTGACTATTTCATTATCTAAAAAACAAACATTAGGTGAATAGAGTACAGGGTTCCATCAGGGAAGTTTAGTATTTTTGTGAGCGTTTTTTCCCATAGGTTTCTTAGCCATCTGTGTACATTTTTTGATTTTGAAAATGTTTCTATTGGTGTGTGCATCTTTCGTTTTTTGCGATAGGAGCTTATCCTCTCTAAGATGCTAGGGATTTTTGCCATGGACTGAACAAAATGAAAGGTATTTGTTGTTGTAAACTGCTTTGACCTATGTCCAATATCATATTGAAATTTCTCAAGAGTTGAGGCAATGTCTGTTGTTTCTCTGTGGTCACCCACAGTTAGCTAGAACCTGGCTCTTCCCACAGAGAAAGATACATGAAGGCTGTGTACTCAAAGTTAGAGGCAATTTGGTGAGGAAGATATTTAGCTATTTGGCAAAACCATTGGCTAAAGTAATTTTTGGAGAAGTCTTGAATTTTAGTTATTCTGTTTAAACATGAAAAATACCTCAGTTTACATGATAATTAAGCCAGGCCAATATAATCAAATCATTAAATTGATTATTGTTCTCTTTCAGTGTTAATTTTAAAGACCCACAGTTTGCTGAAGATTACATTTTTAAAGCTGTAATGCTTCCAGGAGCAAGGTAACAATAGTAAACTACCTAGGTTTATTTTGTATGAATGGATGTTCATCCTTATGACTAAATATTGTATTTTCAAATGGTCAGAAAGCCAGCAGCGGTACTAAAACCTGGCGACTGGGAAAAATCCAGTAATGGACGGCAGTGGAAGCCCCAGCTTGGCTTTAATCGGGACCGGCGGCCTGTCCACCTGGATCAGGCAGCCTTCAGGACTTTGGGGTGAGTCATGGATTTCTATCTCTTGTATGTTTTGCTTTTTCTGAATCATGCCACAAAACAAGGCAATGTTTGTGTCACAAATATTTAAGAGACCATAAAATACAACTATTTTGTAGGTGTTTTAATGATTTTGATAATTCTTTGCTTTTCTTCATTTTTAAAATTTTACTTTTGTTTCTTTGATTTATATATTTATGTGTTGCATGAAATTTCTATTACTTTCTTTCTGTAAGAGGTTTTACTATCTTTTTGACAGTTAGTTAAAAGGAATAAAACATTCTCTTTACCCTCAAGAAAGTTTTAGCTGAATTTGTATGACAGAGAATCTGTTTAAAGTGTTAACCAGGGAAGAGGTTTTACTATCTTTTTGACAGTTAGTTAAAAGGAATAAAACATTCTCTTTACCCTCAAGAAAGTTTTAGCTGAATTTGTATGACAGAGAATCTGTTTAAAGTGTTAACCAGGGAAGAGGTTTTACTATCTTTTTGACAGTTAGTTAAAAGGAATAAAACATTCTCTTTACCCTCAAGAAAGTTTTAGCTGAATTTGTATGACAGAGAATCTGTTTAAAGTGTTAACCAGGGGCCGGCCCAGTGGCATTCTGACTATTTCATTATCTAAAAAACAAACATTAGGTGAATAGAGTACAGGGTTCCATCAGGGAAGTTTAGTATTTTTGTGAGCGTTTTTTCCCATAGGTTTCTTAGCCATCTGTGTACATTTTTTGATTTTGAAAATGTTTCTATTGGTGTGTGCATCTTTCGTTTTTTGCGATAGGAGCTTATCCTCTCTAAGATGCTAGGGATTTTTGCCATGGACTGAACAAAATGAAAGGTATTTGTTGTTGTAAACTGCTTTGACCTATGTCCAATATCATATTGAAATTTCTCAAGAGTTGAGGCAATGTCTGTTGTTTCTCTGTGGTCACCCACAGTTAGCTAGAACCTGGCTCTTCCCACAGAGAAAGATACATGAAGGCTGTGTACTCAAAGTTAGAGGCAATTTGGTGAGGAAGATATTTAGCTATTTGGCAAAACCATTGGCTAAAGTAATTTTTGGAGAAGTCTTGAATTTTAGTTATTTTGTTTAAACATGAAAAATACCTCAGTTTACATGATAATTAAGCCAGGCCAATATAATCAAATCATTAAATTGATTATTGTTCTCTTTCAGTGTTAATTTTAAAGACCCACAGTTTGCTGAAGATTACATTTTTAAAGCTGTAATGCTTCCAGGAGCAAGGTAACAATAGTAAACTACCTAGGTTTATTTTGTATGAATGGATGTTCATCCTTATGACTAAATATTGTATTTTCAAATGGTCAGAAAGCCAGCAGCGGTACTAAAACCTGGCGACTGGGAAAAATCCAGTAATGGACGGCAGTGGAAGCCCCAGCTTGGCTTTAATCGGGACCGGCGGCCTGTCCACCTGGATCAGGCAGCCTTCAGGACTTTGGGGTGAGTCATGGATTTCTATCTCTTGTATGTTTTGCTTTTTCTGAATCATGCCACAAAACAAGGCAATGTTTGTGTCACAAATATTTAAGAGACCATAAAATACAACTATTTTGTAGGTGTTTTAATGATTTTGATAATTCTTTGCTTTTCTTCATTTTTAAAATTTTACTTTTGTTTCTTTGATTTATATATTTATGTGTTGCATGAAATTTCTATTACTTTCTTTCTGTAAGAGGTTTTACTATCTTTTTGACAGTTAGTTAAAAGGAATAAAACATTCTCTTTACCCTCAAGAAAGTTTTAGCTGAATTTGTATGACAGAGAATCTGTTTAAAGTGTTAACCAGTACATTAGTACACAAAGCCACCAGTCTCTTAAATTTTTGTTTACAGTGGTTAAATAGTTTTGTCTCATTGTTGCTTGAATTGGCATATCCATGCCTACTGAGATTATCTTTCAATATGTTTATTGGTCATTTGTATTTCCTCTTCTATAAATTTCTGAGTTTTATTATTTGCCCTTATTAGCTATTGAATTGTCTTTTTCCTAGCTGTAGAAGATATTATAGGTAGATAGAGGGGACTTTGAAACAGTAACAGGTAAAGCTGGGATAAAAAGAGCAACAGGCTGGCGGAAATATTAATGATTTATGATTCACGAATTAGTAATGATAGCTTGTAAGTAGGTACTTCCAGCTAATGGGGAAACTTTAAGATTCAGAAAGTGATTTAGGCAGAGGTCACCATCAACATGTAACTTATACATCAAAGTAAGAGGGACAGTGTGGAATAGTGGTTGAGAGCTGGGCTTTGGATCCTAAGTGTCTGAATTCAGATATCTTTTCTGTTACTTAATATAAGTTACTTAACCACCGTATGCTTCAGTTACCTTATCTGTAAGGTGGAGACAGTAATTACATCTACCTTATGAAGTTGTAAGAATTAAGTAAGCTAATGTTTGTCAAGTGATTAGGATAGTTCCTAAAAACTGTAAACATTACCTGTTATTATTTTGGAAAGTTTTCATTCTTTTTTTTCCCTCTGTATTTTTATAGCAGTTTAGTTTTACAGAGAAATTGAACAGAAAGTACAAAGTTCCCATACCTGCCCCCACCCACATGTACAGTTTCTCCTGTTATTGATATGTTAAATTAGTGTGTACATTTGTTACAATTATGAATCAATATTGATATATTAATTATATGTTAAGGTTTCTTCTTTGTATTGTACAGTTCTGTGGGTTTTGCCTAATGCATAATGTCATGTATTCACCATTAAAGTATCAAACAATAGTTTTGCTGCTCTGAAAATCCTCTGTGCTCCACCCATCTATCCCTCTCTCCCACCTCTTTCCCTCCCTCTCTCCCTTTCTCCCTTACTCCCTCTTTCCCTCCTTTCCTCCTTCCCTCTTTTCCTTATCCACTGAAATCCTGGCAACCACTGATTTGTTCTTGACATCACTTCAAACATTTATCATTCCTTTGTGTTGGAAACATTCAAAATCCTCTCTTCTAACTAACTGAAACTGTACAATAAATTGTTAATTATAGTCACCCTACAGTGCCCTTCATTCTTAATAATAGTAAAATATTAAGATATGTTTTTGCATTATTTCAGTGATTTTGGAAAGCAACAAAGAAGTTCTTCTTAAACAGAGTTCTGAATTCTGAAGATATTGTTAACCTTTGATCCAAATTCCTACTTTCTGGAATTTATTATGAGGAAATAATTTTAGGGCAGCATAGTCATATGTCTGGATATTTCTAGTCCATTGTAATCTATAATATTAGTACTAAGTGAGAGGAATGGTATAGTAAAAATATGAGAAATAGTTAGAGCGTAGCTTTGTAACACCAAGGTCAAGAGCTCAGATCCCTGTACCAGCCAGCCACCAAAAAAAAAAAAAGACATCAACATAGTGAAGTATTCTGTAGGTATACATATTATAATTATGAAGACTAAAGAAATGTATATAAAAATGATACAGTAAATAGAAAAAGTAAATCTATTTACTATAGATATAAGAGGACTTTTAGGACAGCAAGATATAGACTAGTTTGTGTGAAGTGATAGTAACAGCATGAGTCCTTGAGGAAAAAGCTTAATAATGCAGTAAAAAAGAAAAATAGGCTCAGATTATTTTTTGTGTGATGTAATTAGTAAGTATTTAAATGATTATCAATTAAGAGTCTTGGTGTGACAAATGAACATTTGCAATCACCGTTACCATTGTGTACAGTTTTGAACTTTAATTATAAATCTTCTTTTTAATTTGTGTTTTCTTAATCAGATCTAGTAATAAAGAGATTGCTACTAGCATTTAATTTGTGTCAGCTGTAATAGGATGGATACGTTTCTACATACTTTTTTTTTTTTCCTTGTGTGTTGGATCCATTTACAGCCATGTTATGCCAAGAGGCTCAGGATCTGGGCTTTACAGCAATGCTGCACCACCACCTGTCACTTACCAGGGAAACTTATACAGGCCACTGTTGAGAGGACAAGCCCAGATTCCAAAACTGATGTCAAGTAAGTTTTTAATAATTCATTATTTTGTATTCTAAATTAAATATCACAGCACAGGTTGTTTTCTGATTTCATTGCTAAAAAGAGTTATTGTATCAGTGCAGACAGTGGACTTTAAAAACATGTTAGAAGGGTTGTAAAGAAATACTTGTACTTTATGCAAAATCTTTAAAATCCTTTTTATCGTGACTGTATATGGTTAATTGAATAAGGTGAAGTGGTTTTCTTCCTTATCTTCACTTAAAAATCTATTTCTGAGTTAACATATGCGGAAAAAGGTAGAATTGATTGCTGTTTATTCCATCAATCCAAGTATTTGGGCAATTAAATAAGATGCAGTTGATATGGAATTGTCACCACTTAGTTATCTGAAAGACAAAATATTCTTGGTTCAGATTGTGTCTCAGTACTACCTAAGATCAAGCCAGGCATTGTTTTAGATAGGAATATTCCTTTAACCTTGTGATTCTTTGAAGACCTTGGCCTTCCTTAATCCCTCTTTACATGTCTTGCGGATAGTTCAGAAACGTTAACCACGAAAATAACACGGCATTTAGATTACAATGGGAAAGGAATAGTTGAATGTTAGACCTCACAGTAATTAATTTTAAATTGTATCCCCATTCTAATGTTATTTTTCAGCTCCATGATTGTGCCCATTTACCAAGGAAGTATGTCATGTGCCAAGTTCTCAAAACCATTGTTTTCACGAAGGCTCTGCTTCTCCTTTTCTGGTTATCTGGTTCCTATCCAGCCAGACAAGGGCAGCATGGGGGAGAAGAAACAGTGTAGCCAGATGCTAACATCTGTTAAATCTGAGTGTAGTATCATGTAAATAATTTTTTTCTGAATATTTGGAATGTTTCATAAAAATTAAATTTCTCTCTTTCTGTCCCTCTCTGGGGGTGTGGCTTTACCGTGTGGCTTAATGTTACCAAATAGAACATTGTGAGACTCTATCATAAAAACTATTGACTTCAGCAATTTTATTCTGTTTAGTGAAGCACAGAAGTGGTATAGAATTTAATGACCCTGTGGGGATCTGCTTGGTGCTATGGTTGAATAGCTGTTTCCCCTAAGATTTAGCATATAACATTTCTGAGTATTTCCATTTATTCAGTATCAACAGGACAGTCTAATCACTTTGAAAGAGCTATTTGTGCTATGAGATTTTACCAGTAAATGGTAAAAGAATTTCCAGCTTATATTTAAAGCCAGCTGTTTACTGGCACATTCCTTATCAGTTTCTTTCTTTCTTTTTTTTTTCTTAATGGCTCTTTGCCAATTACTCCTATCCATAATGGTATCACAGCTTCTGAATAGGAGAAAGAATTGAGATGCAGAAATGCTAGAGCCAGGTATAATCTCTGGGTTAGTTTAGCCAATATTTCTCAAGATGATAGTTATGAGGAATTTCTGATGTTGTTGCATCAAATAAACTTCTAGAGATCTGAAAAGAGGCTTGAGTAGCAAAGGTGAAAAAGCACGTGTTCTCTGTTAAGCAGCTTCCTTCCATCTCGTGTTTCCATGTTTGCTGAGGCCTGGTCCTTGGATCCACCACCATCATGGTCTGTCCAGATAGTGGCATGTGACGTAATGGCTTTGATGTGCTTTATTTTTTAATATACATCAAAATATATACATAACTATAAAGATAAAAAGTTTGTTCATGGACTCCCCCAAATCATCTTGGATGCTAGTCTTTGGAAATTGTTACCCTAGGTCAGTACTTCTTAACTTTTATGGAATTGTAGGCCCATAATCTGTATCAGGCATGGACCCGCTCCCAAGAAAAACACTTGGTGTAAGGTTCATACGAACTTTAAGGACCCATGGTCTTCCGCTTGCAGCCTACAGGATCCTGCTCCAACAGTTAAGAGAAAGAAAGAAACCAGAAAGTTCTATCATTTATTAGTATCGCACCAGAGGTAGAGAATTTTTTGCCTTTAGGGGCCTACAGTTCTATAGTCCTTGGTCCGCCTTCTTTGGAAACAGACAACTCTTGTTTGCGTCTGTGTTTTATTTCAAATAGTGGGGTCCCCTCCTTGCTTTTATTACTTTGAGTATATATATATATGTGTGTGTGTATGTGTGTGTGTATATATATGTTTTATTTCAAATAGTGGGGTCCCCTCCTTGCTTTTATTACTTTGAGTATATATATATATATATGTGTGTGTGTATGTGTGTGTGTGTATATATATATATATATATGTATATATAAAACTCCTCATTTGCCATTGTTGTAGCTGTTATTAGATATAATTTGTACTTACCAATTACTTGTAAAGAGACTTTGATTAGAATCAATTCCAGTTAAAATATCTTTATTTTAATTACATCACTAAAAAATTGGGAGATGTATTTATAAAAGTAGGAATTGGCTTAGAGCAAGAAACAAGTGTTTCTCTCTGCCTTGTAAACATTGAGTCACTTGAGGATTAGTGCTGGGACTCTAATGATACTTAACATCTTTTCAAAATGGGATGGGAATAGGAGGAGCAAAAGAGTTTATGGGAAAAAAAAAATCAGCAAGAATGTGATATTTAAATTGAGCCAGCTAGAGGGGAACTCCTTTAATTCCACAGTCCTGAAATAAGCAGTGTTTCTTATTATTCTTCATATATGCAATTTTTGAAAATTGGGTTATTATACTTGAACGTGTATTTTTAATATATACTTTTTATTGAAATGTAACATATATAAAGTAATAAATCGTACATGTGCAATTCAGTTATTTTTTGTGAAATGAATATACTCATGTAACCACTCAGATCAAGAAATAGAAAATTATTAGTCCCCAGAATCCTTTCATTGAATCTTTTCTCAGATACTGCACCCACTAAAGGTAACCACTATCCTGACTGCAATACCACACGTTAGGTTTCTGGATTTTTTTGATTTTATCTAATGGTCTCTTACACTACTGCCTTTTAAAGACTTGCACTCTTTTGTTCAATACTTTGATTCTAGGATTTATCCGTGGTATTGCTTGTAGCAATAGTTCATTCATTCTCACTGCTTATAGTGTTCCAACTCATACTATTTCACTGTTTACCTGTCCAGTAGGGATGGCATTTGGCTTGGTTTCCAGTTTGAAGCTGCTGGAATAGTGCTGCTGTGAAATTCTTGTGTCTTGATGCACGTATGTAAACATTTCTGATGGATATGTACCTAGGAGTAGAATCGCAAGGTTATAGGGTTGTGCATATGTTCAATTTTAGTGAGTAAAAATGCAAGACACATTTCCCAAGTTACATTCCATTTGTACCAGTTTACATTCCTATAGCAGTGTAAGGGAGTTCTCGTTGCTCCATGTTCTTACCAATTGTTGGTCTTTTTCACTTTTAACCTTCTATTAGGTAGGTAGTGTATCTCATTCAGATTTTAATTAGTATTTTCTTGATGACTGAATTGAACTTTTTTTATGTTTATTGACCATTTGGATATCCTTTTTTTGTGATGTGTTTGAGTTTTGTCCATTTTTCTATTTGGTTTCTATCTTTTTTGTTTTATTTTATAGCAGTTCTTTTGTATTCTGGTTATGAGGGTTTTTTATATTGGAAATTTCTTTCTCTGCCTGGTAGTTTGCCTTTTTACTTCTTTATTGGTCTGATGAATAGAGGTTTATGCTAACATTTGGGAAATGTGGATGAAGGGCATGTAAAAATTCTTTGTACTCTTCTCATAACTTTTTAAAAAGTCTGAAATGTCACAATAAAAAATTGAGAACAAAATGAATTATTCTTAGATAATTATTTTGACATTTTTGTAAGTAATATAATCTTTTAAATGTAATTTTCCAGTTACTTGCTTGTATGTAGAAATAAGGTTGATTTTTAAATATTTGTATCTAACAACCTTAGTAAATTCATTTATTCTAATAGTTTGCCTACATGTTCTTTTGGATTTTTTTGCATGCACAATCATGTCATCTGCAAATAGTGACAATTTTATTTTCTAATCTTAATGTCTTTTTTTTTTTTTTCTTTTTTCTTTTTTCTCTATTGCACTGGCTAGGATCTCTCATGTAATTAAATCAAAGTGGTGATGGTGGATATCCTTGTTTCATGCCCACTGTATCTTAAGGGGAAAGCTTTACTATTTCATTATTAAACATAATGTTATAGTTTTTTTTCTTTGAGATAATCTTTATCAGATTGAGGAATCCCTTCTATTCCTTGTTTCTAGTGGCTGTTGAATTTTATCAAATTTTTTTCTCCATCTGTTGATATGGTTTTTTTTTTTTTTTTTTTTCTGTGGTAAATTACACTGATTGATTTTTCAAATGTTAAACCAACATGCCATTTCTGGAATAAGTCTAATTTCTGGAATATTTCATCTCTCTTATTTGCTGCTATCTTCTGTGTATCAGTATATCGTAGGATATTTTTCATCTGTGTGTTATGAGAGAGGTTAGCTTTTTATTTTCCTTTTTTTTTTTTTCCCACATTCTGGGGTAGGGTTTTTCTGACCTTGTAAAATAAGTTAGAAAGTGTTTCCTACATTTCTGTTCTCTGTATGGGTTATTGTAAAATTGTTGTCATTTCTTAATCTTTAGAAGAATTCAATGGTGAAGCTATTTGGGACTAGAGATTTCTTTATGAGAACTTTTAAAATTATAGATTCAAATTCTTTCATAGATATGGGTCATTCAGATTTTTTGTTACGTATGTTGTTTTAGGTAAGTTACTTTTTTTTCCTTTAGGAATGTGTCCATTCGAAAATTTCAAATTTATTGCCAGAAGTAGTTCATAATATGCTCTTACTTTTAATGACTTTAAGACTTTAAAATTAATTCCTGATATTGGTAATGTACAGTCACTCTTT